TCTACTGGTCGATGTTTCCCAACAGATCGACATGTTGTCGTCACTGCTGGACGTGATTGACACCGACACATGTCCTAAATATTTACGGCCCGAAGACGGCGAGTTAGATGACGTCATAGAACACCTGTTCATCGAGGTGCTAAACGGAACTACCTCGACTTCTCGCAGCGATTTGGTAAAGAGGCTCATCCAAGTACAAGGTGAGTTCTCCTTTGGTCTTGGTGTTTTTAATTAACTGTTTTATAGACTTTTTCCTCTCGGAGAACGGGCAAGATATTCTATTCCAGACGCTCGTATCGTCATTATCGTCCACTGTAGACGATACTCTGTACACAACGAATGCGCCGTTCACTACGCTGGCCACTGTTATAGAGTTCACGCGCATCATGCTCAGCAAGAACCATAAACTTACCAGTGACTCATTGGTATCTGTTCTCCCAAATGTCTTCATCGTAGGATATCTACTACCAGTAACGTTCCCCACATTGGAAGCGCCTATCATCGATGCCGCACGAGGGGTTTGGAATCTCTGTTTTTCGAAGCCAGATAATGGACTACAGGACGTCCTGAGCGGAATGATTAAAGAGAAATTGAAAGAGCTTTTTCAAGATTGCTCTACTTACACGCGGTTTGTGCGCCTTGCTATGTTTTGTTGCACTTCTGAACTGTCCATAGACCAGAGGATATTTTGACACTTTCAGGTCATAAGCCGAAAGGCATTGATATCACCCCACTTTCAGACGTCTTCCCTACACCAGGAGAATTTAACGCAATGATTAACTCGCTTCCATCAGATCCACCAGACCCTAGTCTTGCATTCATCGAGTCCATCATCCCGGCTATCTCGGAGTTTGAGAACCCAACTATCTCTGGCCTGGAATTTGATTCAAGGGGCTATTCAGCATACATCAGGGTTACGTCTGGTCTTCTGGCGTACTTGGGTGACAACCGGAGCATCGCTAAGGAGAATATGTGGGCACTTCGGCACATACTTATACTTGGCCAATACGCGAACGATGCTTTACGTGTTCCCGCGACTCCAAGTGGATTGTTTGGGCCAGATGTATCGCAGTCAGAACTGCGCAGGCTGCTAGGGAAGGTTCACCAACTTTCCACTTACCTCCTGTCCACAGGCGACGATGGTCTTCACAGTCAGGTTATCAGCACTTGCATATCTAATCGCGCGACAACTTCATCGGATGCTTTGGTGTCTTTTGTCGTAGACATCGTCAACCACGCCAAAAGGGAGGATGCTGTCAGAGATGCACTAGTGTTGCGCTCGGTGTTGAAGCACCTATTTGCGAGCGCTAGCAAATCAGATTCTGACCAATGGTTGAATCTAGCGCGTAGGCTGGAAAAGACAGGTGCGCCACATAAATCACGTCGCAGTCAATGTTCGCATAATAATATATCTGTAGCGCCCCAAACTACCGTGGCCATCCTTGCCAGCATCACTGAATTTGCTCCGGAACCGTTGAGAATGGACCGTTACCGCAACGAGATTGCTTCGGATATCCTGGGAGTGCCTGCGAGCAGAGCAAACACGACAGGAGTCGTCCTGCTTCGTCGTCTTGCAGCGACAGCTCCTGATGCTGAGTCTGACGTGGTGTTCTTGCCACAGCAGCGCGCTGTCAATGTTGTGAAGACTTGTCAAACTTGGATTTCTTCCGACGAAGATATCGATGAAGATGTGGAGAGTATGATGCCACTTTTGTTCATCCATTTGTCCCCGATTTTGCAGAACGTTGCTGGGAACCATTGGGAGTTTATCTTTGATGTGGTCGAGAACAACTTAGAGGTGTGTCAGCCAGTCGTAACAAGTCGTCGTCATACTCATTGCTGAGTTACACTCAGACATGTTCTTTTGCCGATAGCACAACACTGACGATGTTAGGGAGATCGCTTCGTCTTATCCTTACTATCCAAGATCTGGTCCTGACCAACAAGCCACTGCGCGCAAGCTGGGATGGGAGGAAAGAATCTATTTTGGCGCTTGTCAAGAACTTGGTATCCATGAAACTTGGTCAGTCTCAGCTCAAACCAGTAGAGCACGACGCTGAAGTTGCCACAGATAATACCGATCGCTCTGAGCCACGTTCTCTGTGCAGGGAACTGGCACTTGCAGTCATACAAGGGTTGCCTGATGCATTGATGAACGAGAAAACTCTGCCCGAAGTGACAGTTTGAATGGTTTTCGAGTGCTTGTGCTGATACTTGATGTCTAGATGTGTCACCTCCTCACTGATCCTTCCTACGAAGTTCAGCGCATGGGGTACAGCCTTTTGCACAAAGCAGCTCGAAAGCGGACCGAATACTTTGTCATCGAATCTGCTGTTGACACAGAAGACAACGTCAACGCTGAGATACCTGCTGAACTTCTTGCGATTTTGCAATCGAATCTCCCGTTAGCTGAGGGATTCCACGATTCTGAATCAGACAATGTCGAGATGGATTTGTCAGAACTTTACGCAGTTTCCGGTTATCTACTGGCATGGATGATCATGTTCGATCTATTCATCGATGCTGTGAGTATTGATCTAGGGCTAAACCTATTATCAGCTAACGCACGCTTCAGTCCATCAAAGTCAGGTCGCAGTACTTTAATCGAATGAGGAGCCTTGGTATCATCGGGGATTTCTTCATTCCTAATATTTTCGATGTTCTCGATCTGTTCAGTGGAAAGAAGAAGGCATTCAAACTTGATATATGGGCAGTCGATGACTTTTCCATTGAACGTCAGTGGTTCTATCCTATATCATGTCTTCAAATTAACTTTCTCCAGACTTCGAGCCCGAGAGCGTGCTCAGCCTACGACTCCTAGCTGCTCATATCTATCATCGAGCGCTCCTGACAGTCCCAGCATTGATACGATCCTGGATCTCAGACTGTTCAGACAGACAGCTGTTATCGCGCGTGGTGGACTACACCGCTTCATACTTCTCACCAGGCATTATCAGAGCCGAGCTTGCGCAAGTGCGGCAGGCTGATCCATCGTCAGAGCTGCATACAACGGAGAATCTCGTCATCAAAGTATCGCCGAGCGCTGGAGAGGTCACGGCCTCCTACACAGTCGATGATCAAGTGCTGGAATTGTCTCTGAGATTGCCAAACGACTGGCCATTGCACCGACTTGACATCCGTGATACGAAGATGGTCGGTGTATCTGAAGATAGATGGAGAGCTTGGGTGCTGGGGGTACAGCAAATTGTTTGGCAACAAGTAAGCGCTATTGCAACGATTCATCCTGGTCACTTTAATGAGGTACACACAGAACGGTCGGATTGTCGACGGTCTAACTGTATTCACGAAGAATGTGACCCTTCATTTTGCTGGTCAAGTGGAGTGTGCAATCTGTTACTCGTACGCAAGTCTCTTGTGCGATTGTATCGGTGCTTACTTTGGAGCAGGATTATCAGTGTCATGGACAGCAGCCTTCCACAGAAGCCTTGCAAGACCTGCAAGAACCGTTTCCATGCAAGTTGCTTGTACAAAGTGAGTACCAGACGCTCGACCCTTCCAACGATCTAAATTGGTCTCCAGTGGTTTAAAAGCAGCCATTCATCAAGCTGTCCGCTTTGCCGATCTGACATACTGTGAAAAACCATGTCTAGTGTCTCGATAGCGAATTGACTCCGAGGATTAGTAAATGACTCCTACTGATATGGATGCGTTCCGATAGGGTTCCTCCTGTATGAAACAATATCAATAGCCTTTGCATGATAGCCTCCAGGGTGAAGCTGGACCGGGGGATCGATTATGCTTATTGCGATCAGTGGAGATAAACCACCATGATCTAGAACGTCTAGCCTAAACACCTGACGAGCAGAAGGTCTCCGAGGGACCGTGCCCATCGGACATGCAACGATCCATGGTGGGCGTCACCGCCGTATTCGGAGTGTCTACCACTATCTTGCCGTCTTAACAGATGTTTTAACACCTTGGATATGCGAGTCAAAGGGTACCCGGGTATGGATGAACACTTCCCAGGTATCGCTTATTCTTGTTGCTTCTTTCCAGAGTCAGACTAGCTAGCGGTCATGGGGTATACTCTGGTTAACCGGAAATTTGAAATTGCAACTGACTCGAACATGCTTATCTCTGGGTGGTCTTCCATTACCCGAAGCTTCGTGCCGTGACGCCGAGTTAGAGTCATACTTGCTTGCCACGGACGCCTGAGTTAACCGTTGGGGCCCGGTCTATTGAGCAATACTTGAAGCTTGAAACCTGACACCAAAGTGGATACGTGACCGACTCCAATTTCGAGTGCGTCGCGACTCGCGAGTCACCAACTGAAACTCCAGTCGCAGCCGCAAGTGGGGCCGGCGTCATTACAAATTTGGCTTATTATTAATGATCACCTGCCGTTGATTACAGCAAATGTTTGATTCTTGGGCTATGTCAATGCAGGCTAGACCATGGGATTTACGCAGGAGTGCGTAAGAAAAACAAAAGGACCACCCTTTTTAGCGGGAGCCTGAGACTGAACGGGAAATCCCGACAGGCACTTTTCACTGACCATGGCGGCAGTGGTGCCGTTGATTGGCATGGAAGACGCACAGCTGTATGGGAATGCGGATATCAGCTTACATGACTTTTCAGTGCTTTATATGCCAAGTTGCCAAGTCTGTCAGCTGTAGGATTGTCTGTATGGAGGTTAGTCCCGTGCTGTAGCAGCGAGTGCTCTTGTGATGCCCTTTGCTTCTGGCCTTGCGGATTCCATAAATAGCACTCCGATCATAAAGAAGGCTCTCTGTTTGAAACCTCACCGCTTTGAGGTTATCTCCTCATTGTCGGAGCATGTAGGTACAAAGCGTATTCTTCGGCTGTCTATAAAAGTTTTGTTAACCGTTCCAACCATGTGTTCCTTGCTTTCCTCGCTGCCACCATTTCTCGCACCTCCCGTGGATCCAGATCCCTGTCCATTCCATTGTCCATTGTCCATGACTGCTGCTACGCTCACTTACAGTGCCGATGCGCACATCCGGCAGTCGGCATCTTCAATAACATTTGCCACTCCCTCAATGTTGACACAAGAATTTCATCTCGAAACCGATCCACGTTTCGCGTTCGCGCGCGTAAAGGGCGATATATGTCTAGTCCAATGTGCGTTCTCACCATTCGCAATACCTGAGTCCAGCCTGATACAATCTACGTAGTGCATCCAATCCAATCCGAGACATCACGCGAATCTTTAGGGATCATCGTTTTTCGCCACGAGTTCGTGTCCATCTTCCGGTATTCCCATGACCTACGCGTGTCCCCCGAGGACATTCGTGTTCTCGAGCTTCTTGACGAAGACCGGATACGCTATGAGGAAGACAACGGCACTGTCTTCCTGGCAAAGGATCTTATGGCTCAACTTCGAAGGATGATTGATGCAAGTAACATGATTAGACTGCAAAGGGGAAGATACCGGGGGTACAGAAGACGGTCAAATTAGGTGGTGGCAGGTGACGAGAGACTCGATATTCATGGTTTGAACAGTACAATATATCATATGTAAGTACTCACATATTTATGGGCTGGCTAGCAGTGTGTTTGTATACCCTATGTAGCATTATGGTAATTGTACTCGCATCGACGACGGACGCTTGTCCCAAGTTCATTACAGCTCAGCTCGACCTTCACTAATCCCCCAAGACCTCCTGACGCCACAGCACGGCCGTCCACGTGCGAGACATGTGTCGTCGGTAAACTTTACAGTTGTCGATCGTCGAATCAAGCGGGTTAGCTGCAAGCCTTAAAGCCGATTGTTGTCATCCGGAAGAATCGGAAACACATCACGATGTGGGGAACGTCAGTATCAATGACATCTTTATACGTACGCAAAAGGGATGTGTGGCCATTGCGGTCACTTCCTCCAGTATAGAAAACCCAGCTCCTCCTAGGTCAGTAGGAGAGGGAAGGAGTAGATATTTGCCCTCAAGCGATCATTTGATCGTCGAGGATTTGTTATACCAGAGGAAAAAGCCGAACATTGTCAGTCAGATGATCGTCGAGAATTTGTTATATCTCAATCGAGTTGTGTGGCCGGGTCAAAGGCAATCACACGGGAGAACGGGTTATGTAAAAAAAGAGAACTGCACCGAACGAATGACCTGCCATAATCGGGCTTGCGGGTCAAAGTGCTCAATCATGGCTTCCTCTGGACACGCGACTTGAGAATTGCGGTGGACGGTCCGGATGACTTGCTCTAATTCCGCTCTAACGGACTTATGCCGAAGACTGATTCGGCTGTTGACTCCGTCTAGATTTATCCAGCTTCGATGGGTGAATAATACTGGAACGATCATTTGTGGGAACTTGGCGTACCATAATTCTGAACATTCTAACCAGTAAAAGTCTCTTTGTATTCCGTCCTCGACATTAATGCGAGTGTGTCATTTCGATGTTCAATTACTAGCCCCACGTGAGGAGAACTTGATTTTGACCTCGATCTTACCAAATGGGGAAGGTCACCCGGTGGTAGTGAACTTCGACTTTGACTTCAGCTGTAACTTTACCTTGCGGTAATTTGTGCGTTATGACTTGTGGCATAAATTGGACATGTCATATATGTAAATTCAGTCTATGGCCTTACATCTTGACACTCGCAGGGGACAAGGTATTCACCTGTTTCTCAAGGTTCTCTCTCTTTTCGCGGCATCCTCATCGAGTTCCAACAGCATAACCCGGTATTTTCGACATCAGCTGAGTATTTCATGCGACTCGGTCGATGGTCAACCTATTGTACAGTGGGTTTACAATACAAACGAATAGAGGGCTCGACCGCTTACTGACTATGAGTAGACGAGACTCGTAGGCTCAGGACGGACATTCAAGTTATCGCTACATTAGGAGTCGACACCTTGTGCCTGGTGGCTACGCCAAGTAACTTTGACTGCCACAGCATGCGCCGCATACAAGCAATGCTGGTTGATATACCCCTTCGTGTTTGCCACATATAGATCGGGTACCTCTCTTCCCAATAATCCTGATACCGGTGTCTGTGGCAGCCCTCCAAATACGTGTTTCGTCATATTACACGCGTCACGCCACAAATAATCTGCCAGACCTCAGAATTCAATATCCAGGAGTAACGCAGTGACTGTAAACACAGCATCCTGCTGTACAAGCCCTGTTGAACTACATCTCCCTGAAATGGCATACTGACACGATACTATGCAACATTTTCCTGTCTTCTAGTATTCTGGTTGCATCCACTCCTTTCTAACATGAAGCGGTAATTTCTTTTGTCCCACACGAAATTGATTGATGGCGTCACAATGATAGGCTGCAAGTGCTGTATCGGGCGGTGCTAACACATTGCCGCAATGATGTCCACCATGATGTCATGCTCTCCATGCATTTCACGTACATGGCGGTCGAACTATGTACAAGGTCGTGCATCAGCGAACGAGCAAATGAACACGCTGATTATTCCGCGCGACAACGGTAGACTCCGAGACATTCCCCTGGGCAGCCATGCGCATGTATACTCCAAAGTGGAGAATTACCAATATTAAGCTCAAGCTGATGGAGGCGTCTTTCAATCAAGCGCCTCGAGAGTTCGCAGCTTCATACTCACCCCGTTTCGTCCTGTACCCCCCTTCTCCTGGCTATTCATGGCCGTTTGGCCAAGACAGCCAAGGTGAGCGGGCAGAGGTTGTGACATTGACACTAGAACCTAGCTATTGGAGAGTACCACTAATGTGGCATTCTATATCGATGTAGAGATACCACGTTTTGTGATGGCCCTCCCATTATACCAGTGATTTCGCTAATCCGTGTACTTGCAAGTAGATCAAAGTTTCGCAGCGACAACAGTCTCCGTCGTCGCGTCATGCATGATCCAGTGTGGAGTAAGTATAAGGTCAAACATACGTCGCTGTTATCGAATATTCAAGTTGCCGGAAGAATTGAGGCCTCGAAGTTGGCACCAATCAACAAATAACTTGTCTCTTGTAAATTGCAATGTCAAAGGGTAATCGAAGACGACTGACGTACACGTTGATAAGTCCTAGTAAGGATCTGATTTACCCATCTTCTTGTACAACATCTTCTCGAACCTCCTCGCCAACGCATAGGTGATAACTCCTACCACAAACCCTACGAACACACCAACATCTCCGCTGCCCTGCCTCGCTACTGGTCCTACATACCAAGCTTGTGACATGAATGGAACAAGAGCTCCACATGCACACGCGAAGGCCACTACCGCGGGGATACCGCTAGGCAAGAGAGCGCATGAAGCCCAAATCGTAATGGGGTATTGGTCCTCAGAAAATGATGCTCGTCGGAATAACATATGCTCTGTGAGTATTATCGCAGAGAATATTGATGACCAATATCCAATGATGTCTGAGAAAACAGCATGTTAGCGCTAGCAATAGATATCGATATTTGGGACTTGTACTAAGGACGTCGACAAAGGTAGCATAGAACCTTTTTGCACCAATAATGGCCACTGGGATGAGGCTTGAATCCACATCGTGAGCATCGCTGAGGTTTGCATGGACTTGATGACACTCACATTCCCTCTGACAGGAGGATATATACCCATCTAGGCACCGCAGCAAACCACGTAGCAATAGCCATGAAACTGTTGCTGAACGTATATATCGGTAGTGCACAGGCACTGGAAATGCTGAGAGCGACCAAGGCAGTCAGGATTTTTCCAAATGCGCCTGTAGGTAACAAGATGCTGTGTAGCAAACCACCGACGGAAGAGCTGTTATCAAATCCTGCATTCCAAGCAGGCACACTCGGAGCTGCTGCTGCGAATGCGGCACCCAGAACCTGACCAGTCACCTTTTCAAAAGAAGATAGTCAAAATGTAACTGATACCGACATACAAATGGCTTACATTAGATACGAAGAACCCAAGATATGTGTAAATAAAAATTCTAGCACTATCGAAATGTCAAGTAGAGTCCTGGTGATGACCTGGGAAAGCTCACGAAGAAGCATCGGGGCTATGGTATACGCCATAATCAGGGATCATGGGACACCAGCCAATAATGTTAGATGCGAGAAAGGACGCAAAAGACATGACATTAGCAGGTGTTGCTGGAGGGACGGGAGCCGACAGGTTTTCGCGTAGTTGTGGATAACCGACAGCCAACATGGCGATAAAAGCAATTACATTCGGGATCCAGGCGACACTTTCGTACCTATGAATCAAACGTTCGCTCAGATTCAGGATGACTGGTGTTGAAGTGTTCCCACCAATGGATGACGCGGTATCCGCAGAAAGTGATCTTAAAACCTGTCACTTTTTGGGCAGCAGGAGCAGTTCTGACATACCACAAGAGATATGATACCGAGGATGACGATACCAAGAGTATCATCAAGTTGAGAAGACAAGCTAGCTATCGTTTGTCCGCCAATAATGCAGTTTAGAATCAGGAAGCCTTCCAAGGAGAGAACATTCAGAACGGCCGGTATGATGGCACCAAAATAGCTTGATATCCATCAGGGAATGATACCGGCAATCGGAAAAAGTGACTCACCCCCATGAGAACCTTGCTTGTACCATAGCTCGCATGCCAAGCTTTGGCCCAAAAACAGCACTAGCGCATTATGGAGTCCCTATAGATGCGTAAAGAATAGAAAGACTCACAAGAATCCTGGCAATAAACAACATCTAGCTGAAGGTCAATCGCTGCAGATCGAGATTTTGTGAATTGACTTACACCAGGTCAACAGTGACTATGATAGCTATGGAGTCGCGAACTCCCAGGGAAAAAAATGCAGGGCCAGCAGCCCCACTGCTGAATCTGCAGGTGTTGGGTGGATCAGCGAATTGCACCAGAATCAAGACAGTACTGAAACGCACCCCAGGATGTTCATGCAAGGGGAGAACCAGATGAAAAACAACTGGTACCACCGAGTGTCGAGACGTTCGTCTGCTGGCACCGGTGCGATGCTTGTCTGAGAATCAGCAAAAATGATAAGACAGGTGTCACAACAACTCACCCACGAGTTTCAATTCCATACTTAGAAAGTAACTGAGTAGTACGTCTGAGAAATCCTACCTGATCTGAGCGATCATTGTCCTCCACACTATCATCCCTGGTACGCTCATCAGAGGACACACTGCTAGGTCTGGCATGGCAGTTCAACCGACCTGTCCTGTTTCCGCTCCGTCATGTAAGACTGCATTGAGGGAGTATCGATTGACCTGGTTCAGTTTGGTTGACGGTGCAACGGCGTCAGTGAGCCTGAGTGCCAGATGAGTCGGGCGCCTATTGCTATTAGTACTAAATGTTTTTAGTAGGCGAAAGTAAAGCGAGTGGGATCCGACCCGGGATACTGGCACGTCAAAACAGCATGATCTTTAATTGATCAATCAAGCTTCTGTATCACTCCCAGGGCCCAAGCCTTCAAGTTGGGAACGACGCAATATGATTCAGTGAACAATGAACATACCTCTGACAGTACTGCATGTCACATGTTCCTCGGCCGGAGTTCACGGGTACACCGTATGTTGATATCGTAAACTAGCATTCAATTGTCATTTCCCGAAAACTATTTTATCACTTCAGGGTCACAGAACAGTTCATGATGTACACGCATACTATCTACCTTAAAAACAAAAACTACTAGGCATTCGACTTATTCATCTTTTTGTACCACAATTTTTCGAAACCCCTTGCCAATGCGTATGTGATAGCCCCCACCACAAACCCTACGTATACCCCAACATCTCCACTACCATGCCTGGCCACTTGTCCTACATACCAAGCCTGCGACATGAATGGAACAAGGGCTCCACACCCACACGCGAAGGCCACGACCGCGGGAATACCACTAGGCAAAAGAGCATACGAAGCCCAAGTCGTGATAGGATATTGATCCTCAGAAAACGAGGCTCGCCGAAATAACACGTGTTCTGTAAGAATAATCGCAGCAAATACTGACGACCAGTATCCGATGAGATCTGAAACCAAGGGGTCAACGTTTTAGTGATAGTGACAGATATCGCGATATTCGGGACTCGTACCGAGGATGTCAACGACAGTGTTATAAAACTTTTTGGCACCAATAATGGCTACTGGTATCAGACTTCAACACAAATAATGAGTATCACGGGAATTCGCGACGCTGAAGATACTTACACTGCTTCAGAGATGAGAATATATATCCATCTAGGTATTGCAGCAAACCACGGAGCGATAGTCATGAAACTGGTGCTAAACGTATACATGTTTGGTGCACAAACGCTGGCTATACTGAGAGCCACCAGAGTGATCAGAATTTTTCCAAATGCGCCTGTAGGTAGTAGCACACTGTATAACAAGCCACCGACGGAAGAGCTGTTGTCAAATCCTCCATTCCAAACAGGCACGTTGGGAGCTGCGGCTGCGAACGCAGCACCGAGGGTGTGGCAAGCCACCTTTTCAAGATGTTATGATGATGCTGGTAACAGTACGTAGGGACTTACATTAGAAGTGAAAAACGCGATATACGTGTAAAGAAAAATTCTCGCACTATAAGGATGTTAACGAGAGCCTGTGAGTGGTCTGAGGGAGCTCACGAAGAAGCAGCAGGGCTGTGGTATACACCATAGTCGGGGGTCACGGTACACCAGCTGATAATGCTAGCTGTGAGGATAGACGAAAAAGAGATAACCTCAGCGACAGTTGCTTGAGAAACAGGAGCTGATTGGCTGTCACGTAGTTGTGGATAACCGACAGCCAGCATGGTGATAAAAACAATCACATTTGGAATCCAGGCGATACTTTCGTACCTAGAATCAAAATTGTGTCACAATTATACGAATAGTACATGGTCAAGTAATCCCACCAATGAATGATGCGGTATCCACAGAAAGTGACCTATGAAGCTTAACATTTTGATGCAAAACCAACAAATTTGACGTACCACAAGAGTTATGACAGCAATGATAACAATACCAAGAGTATCATCAAGGTGAGAAGACAGACTTGCGAGCACTTGTCCACCAACGATGCAGTTCAGGACAAGGAAGCCTTGCAAGGAGAAAACATTTAAGACGGCCGGTATGATGGCACCAAAATACCTTGATATCCGTCAGTGAATGATACTGGCAATCGGAAAAATGACTCACCCCCATGAGAACCTTGCCTGTACCATAGCTCGCGTGCCAAGCTTTGGCCCAAAAACAGCACTATACATTCATCAGTCCTAAGAAACATTCAGATAATAATAGTTAAACTCACGAGAACGCAGGCAACAAGCAGACCCTAATTATAATTCACACCAGTTTGTTGTCGTATAAACTATTGGCACTTACACCAGGTCAACAACGACAATGATGATGATAGAATCATTAACTCCCAGGGAAAAAAATGCAGGTCCCACAGTGCCAATGCCGAATCTGTAGATGTCAAGTGACTCAGTAGATAGCAAGAGAGTCGAAAGTTGAGTCAGGACTCAAAACGCACGTCCCGATATTCATATTAACAGAAAACCATACGAAGAATATTTGGTACCATCGAGTCTCTATGCGTTCCTCTGCTGGTACCGGGGCGATGCTGATCCGAGTAACAGGTAGAAATGCTTTCAAGTTAGACATTGGAGATATCATAACGACACCATCTCACTCACCCATGAGTTTCAATTCCACACCGAGAAAGTACCTGTGTGGCACGTCTGAGAAACCCTGTATAATACTGACCGCCCTCCAGATCATTGCCCACAGGCTTATCAGAGGCCAAATCCGGTGTCACAGAACTGGAGCGGGACTCTCCCTGTTTCTTTTCCACAAATTCGGATTGCATTGTGTGAAGTGAACTATGATTGACCTGAATTTCCTGCTTGGATGTACCTGTCGTGAGGGTACCAGCTGGGTTCTAGTTGCCGTTGTGCCGCAGTTATTTTGAAGTTTGGAGCATTCTTAAATCGGATCCGGTTTGGTAAAACAATCTCCTAATGACCAATACCATGATGCCAGCGCTTCTGAGTACCTGGAACCCGGGAGAAACAGGACTGGGTGGCTCACAGGTCAGAAACACAGTTGAAGTAAATTTTAGGATCATAACCATGTCACCATTTACTTTGCAAACGATAGACGACTGTAACATAGTACATGCTGACTAAGCTACTAATGAGAGCTTCTCATGAGTAGACTTGCGTCATCTTTTTTTTTTTTCTTTTTCTTCCCGCTTCTACCGCATCTAACCATTTGCCAACTTTGCAACGGAGGTCAAATCAACAGCCGTCAAGGCTTATGCAGCACTCTCACCTGTCTTCGGATAGGACTTGGGTGGACCTTTTTCCTTCCAAAATATGTCCTTACCTCTATCTGGCATGAGTTCACAACCCTGCTGGAACACCTTTGCTGGTCTAGAGCGGGAGGTTTTTCCTGATGCTTATCTCTTCAAGTCACAGAACAGTTCATGTACACGCATACTGTTTACCTTAAAACAACTACTACTAAGCATCTGATTTACTCATCTTTTTGTACCACAGTTTTTCGAAACCCCTTGCCAATGCGTATGTGATAGCCCCCACCACAAACCCTACGTATACCCCAACATCTCCACTACCATGCCTGGCCACTGGTCCTACATACCAAACCTGCGACATGAACGGAACAAGGGCTCCACACCCGCACGCGAAGGCCACGACCGCGGGAATACCACTAGGCAAAAGAGCATACGAAGCCCAAGTCGTGATAGGATATTGATCCTCAGAAAACGAGGCTCGCCGAAATAACACGTGTTCTGTAAGAATAATCGCAGCAAATACTGACGACCAGTATCCGATGACATCTGAGGAGTCAGCGTTTTAGCCATAGTCACAGATATTCGGGACTCATACTGAGGATGTCAACGAAAGTGGTATAAAACTTTTTGGCGCCAATAATGGCTACTGGTATCAGACTTCAACACAAATAATGAGTATCACGGGAATTCGCGACGCTGAAGATACTTACACTGCTTCAGAGATGAGAATATATATCCATCTAGGTATTGCAGCAAACCACGGAGCGACAGCCATGAAACTGGTGCTGAACGTATACATGGTTGGTGCAGAAGCGCTGGGAATACTGAGAGCCACTAGAGTGATAAGAATTTTTCCAAATGCGCCTGTAGGTAGCAGCACGCTGTAAAACAAGCCACCGACGGAAGAGCTGTTGTCAAATCCTCCATTCCAAACAGGCACGTTGGGAGCTGCGGCCGCGAACGCAGCACCGAGGGTGTGGCAAGCCACCTTTTCAAGATGTTACGATGACGCTGGTAACAGTACGTAGGGACTTACACTAGAAGTGAAAAACGCGATATACGTGTAAAGAAAAATTCTCGCACTATAAGGATGTTAACGAGAGCCTGTGAGTGGTCTGAGGGAGCTCACGAAGAAGCAGCAGGGCTGTGGTATACACCATAGTCGGGGGTCACGGTACACCAGCTGATAATGCTAGCTGTGAGGATAGACGAAAAAGAGATAACCTCAGCGACAGTTGCTTGAGAGACAGGAGTTGATTGGTTGTCGCGTAGTTGTGGATAACCGACAGCCAGCATGGTGATAAAAGCAATCACATTTGGGACCCAGGCGATACTTTCGTACCTAGAATCAAAAATGTATCACACTTATACGAATAGTACATGGTTAAGTGATCCCACCAATGAATGATGCGGTATCCACAGAAAGTGACCTATGAAGCTTAACATTTTGATGCAAAACCAACAAATTTGACGTACCACAAGAGTTATGACAGCAATGATAACAATACCAAGAGTATCATCAAGGTGAGAAGACAGACTTGCGAGCACTTGTCCACCAACGATGCAGTTCAGGATAAGGAAGCCTTGCAGGGAGAAAACATTTAAGACGGCCGGTATGGTGGCACCGAAATACCTTGATATCCGTCAGTGAATGATACTGGCAATCGGAAAAATGACTCACCCCCATGAGAACCTTGCCTGTACTATAGTTCGCGTGCCAAGCTTTGGCCCAAAAACAGCACTATACATTCATCAGTCCCGAGGAACGTCCAGATAATAATAATAGTCAAGCTCACGAGAACGCAGGCAACAAACATATCCTAGTTATAGTTCATAGCGAATTGATATTCATAAAGACTATTGACACTTACAGCAGGTCAACAACGACAATGATAATGATAGAATCATTAACTCCCAGGGAAAAAAATGCAGGTCCCACAGTGCCAGTGCTGAATCTGCAGGTGTCAAGTGACTTAGCAGATAGCAAGAAAATCGAGAGTCGATACAAGACTCAAAACGCACGTTAAGATATTCATATTGGCAGAAAACCATACGAAAAACATTTGGTACCATCGAGTCTCTATGCGTTCCTCTGCTGGTACCGGGGCGATGCTGATCCAAGTAACAGGTAGAAATGCTTTCAAGTTAGACATGGGAGATATCATAACGACACCATCTCACTCACCCATGGGTTTCAATTCCATACCGAGAAAGTAACTGGGTGGCACGTCTGAGAAACCCTGTATAATACTGACCGCCCTCCAGATCATTGCCCACAGGCTTATCGGAGGCCAAATCCGGTGTCACAGAACTGGAGCGGGACTCTCCCTGTTTCTGTTCCACCAATTCGAATTGCATTGTGTGAACAACGATTGACCTGAATTTCTGCTTGGATGTACGCGTCGTGAGGGTAACCAGCTGGGTTTTACTAGTTGCCCTTGGAGCATTCTTAAATCGGACCCGGTTTGGTGAAACAATATCCTAACGGCCAATGCCATGTGGCATGATGTAGGCGCTTCGAAGTGTCTGGAACCCGGAAGAAACAGGACCGGGTGGCGTCATACCCAGAAACGCAACGAGCTTTAAACTAGGATCGTGCATTTCCTTTGCAACGATGATGCACAAAGAATAAACGACATACATGCTGACTAAGCTACTAATAACGAGAGTGAGTTTGGCCGCTGAGTAGTAAGTTACATGAATTCATAACATCTCGAGGCCCACCGTGACTGGTCTGGCTCCGTGTCACATCCGCCGGTGTTGTTTCAATGCCGCAACAATTTGAGGACGGTTTTAAAATCAAATTAGCACCATCATTCTCTGTATGAGAAGCACCTATGCACCAGGTAGTGAGGGTAGAGGACAAGTGTCGAGGCTGCTGCGCCAGGCCAAAGATAGTAAGTGGAACGAAGGACATTGCGCGGTCAAGGAACTGACTCACAGAATATTGCAACTGCTGGATCACAGTGGATTATCAACATACACAGGTCCTTCCACTGTGAGTATCACGGTTCACGCACCCCAGTGAATTCTTGAAATGAGCATGGCGATGACAAGGCTTTAACGCCGTTCCGCCATTTCATTGATGGGCCTGAACGACGCTTCGAGATACTTCGTTGGCCAGTAGATGATGTATGTGCAAATGCCAATCAACAGTGGCAGGGAGTCGAGGAGGTAGAAGTAGACTTGTCAGGCAAGAGTTATACCAAGCGCCCAAATTTTAGTATCCCCCAATACTTACTTTCATGGGTGACGAGATAACCGCCGTTACCTTGAGCAATCTCGATGACACGATAGATACTGCGAATCTGTATCGCGCAACGACGGACGATAAAGGTGGGTGAAAGGCGCACCGTAGGCTGTTGAAGAAAACATCAATATCCAAAGAATTGGCCCCCATGGCTCCCGGCGGAGCAGAAAACCATCTCGGAGGACACCACGCCATATATGCGCACATAGGATCATGAAGAACGCAAATGAGTGTGTCTGAATGACTAATCCGGAGAGAAGAATGTTTGCGCCCAGTTTCTCGTTTGTCATTTTTGTCGACACTTCCAGGCCACCACCTACACCCTGCACAACGTCGTGATTAATCTTCCGTGTAAACGAGACAAATAATCAAACTTCAAACTTGTATGAAGAATGTCGTGATATCGCTGATAACGAAGTACCGGGCAACTTTTTCTGGCTTTATCCAAGAGGAGCATCTGTCAACGCAGTTCGCGACGAAACGCCCGTAAAGGATGGAATTGAAGGCAAGGTATGCAGCAGGCGGTAACAAGGTGAGGAGTTGTTGGACCATGAAAATTGGGAGAGAATTTGGGTTTATCACCATGAGTATGCGCATAAAAAAGCCAATGAACATGACTGCTTTAACAGTCAACACGCGTTTCGAGGTGGGTGGTGAGACCTTACAGGTTGAGGCTACAGGGAGACAAAGTCCCCACCATGCCTTGTCCATGAATAAGCGCACGAACAGGCAAAGGCTGGCAATGAAGTACGACCCGCCTGCCACAGCTGCTATAGCTTTGTCTGGGTAGTATCCTGGATCAAATGGATCAGACCCAATCCGCAAGATGATGCTTCGTGGACTGACTAAATATTTCAAAAACCATTGTTGGCTCCTCGACACTGATTGGGCCTTTGTCGCTGGAATGCGAGATGATCCAGCATCAATGACCTTCCCGAAGAAACGAAGGTCAAAATAAGAGTCTTCATGGCTGCAACTGTGAAAGATAGCGTGTTCGAGCAGTAGATGATTAGTGCAGTAATCTTTGAACGTCGTTCCAAACGGACTCAGGAGTAATATGTATGCCATTAATGATGGAAGTCGACGCAATGCGCCTCCCGTGGGAAGGGGAACTGAGCACTGCTAGCTGGTGACGTGCCACCGGACGACATCGGATGAGAAAGCAAATTGCTATTTGTCAAGTACCGCAGTTGATGTGCTCACCAGAGCGCTAAGTTGAAATACCCTCAATACACACACGCGATTGATACCTAACTAGAGAATCGGCAATCAATCCTGTGTCGCACCGAAGGAGAGCACAGATCTCGTCAAGTTCAGTTCAAATTACATTTTGTGATGAAGTGGCAGTTCAGTGACAACACACCGTATCGCAAGTGGTTACCCGCCCTCTACCTTCTCTTCTACATATGCAGCTTGGCGTTCCTATCATCTGAGTTACACGATATCATCACAGGGCCGCCATGTCCGAGACGATGACCCGAGTGGTAAATGAAGATCATGCTGATTTGCTGGGCAGCTGGCTTGCCCAATTGGTAGGCCTCCTTATGCTGGGCAGTGAGAATATAATAAGTTCCAGATTTTGGAATGGAGAAGAGGCAAATGATGCGGTATCCGATACCATTAGGCTCAGGCTGTCCGTCGAATTCAGTGCCAACTCATTCCCGAATGATGAGAATCTTGAATTTTGAACTATGCATGGTGGTCGTTAATCATCGATGGATGCAATAAATATCATTGTTCAATCTCGAACGATGAATTTCATTGCCTCGATTCTGTTCAGAAGCGTATGAGCGGATTTGGAGTTTGCATGACAATGTTGGTATCATATGTCGACGGCTTCTCCCAGGAAGTATGATATTGTACCTCAGCGGCCGGACTGGTGACCTCTGGTTGATGGGCATTCATCCAAAGCGAGTTCGTGATCGGGTTGGGTATGGGCCGCGCGGCACGGACTGAAACCACCTTCCGGCGTAGAACAGTCTGGTCCAACAAGTGCGGCGGCAAGCCAACGGATAGCACGTCGGACATTGAAAATAAAGGTAACTAATGGTCATGGTATGATACCCCCTGTTCACTACTCGCTGGGCAGGGACTTGCAACGCACTTCGACACTCTATCCAACAGCTTGCGGCTATTTACATGATTATACCGTACGAAATGAGCGTACACTGACCGTACGTGCCAACGAGGAGTGATAAGATTAATATGTACCTAGGTTATTCGAAAATTCGCCACTTGCCCGTCTTTTTGCCCCCGGACTGCAGACATTCGCTCTGAATGGATAAAACACTGCATGATGATTGTAGTGAGTATTCAAGCTGAGGATTGGATATAAAAGGACCTGACCTTTCATCCTCAAGGTGTACTTGTGCGCACCTGAGTCTTCCAAGTTTGTTACTTGCGACGACCGCCCCAGCTTGGGTAAAACGTACCTATGAGAGGGCACCATCGACATTGGTGCCTCCAACATCGGTTGCAATTATTGGGTCCCCAACATCAGCATCAGCGTCTTCCTGCCCCTGGCCCAAGGCCGCAGCAACACGGTCACGCTCATTCATCCCTGCAATCGCCTCCTCCGCGATGGTCATAAGCTCCATCAACGATTCTGCACCCAATAGTCAATTGATGACCCTTAAATGACCAAAGAAAATTCGGGGCTCACTCTCGATGCTTAAGGTGATGAGCGTCTGAAAGGTTCAAACGTCAATTTCACAACTTTTCAACGAATGGTAAGCGAAGGCCAACTTACCCGCCTGGTATCGTTATCCCTCAAAATATCCATTTTTATGCCCGCCTTCATATTATCCGCGCCAACCACATCATCCAGGAGCGCCCTCAGCTGCTCATTCACGTATGCGTTCGTGCCACTGCCACTGTTCCCCAGATAGCGCATGTACTCCTGGAATGAACGCGCCTCGTTTAAGACGCGCTGTGGGAGTGTCTCGAGCAAGTCCTGTGCACGTAAATTGGGATCCGGTGCATTTATTTCTGTGTCTTGTGGTTGCTGGCTTCCCTCGCCGCCATCGTCCTGCTCAACAAAAGTTGTGCGTGGTCGGAGACCCGAGGAAGGAACGTGGGGTTGGAATCGCACGTTTGGAGAGGCTGGAGTCAACGATTGAGTCTCAATCTGGGTTGGGCTTTGGGCTTGACTCGGAGGCTGGGGTTCAGACAGGGACTGGGTCCTCGTCATATACATATTTTTTGTGCGAGTGCGGTACGTCGTGACGGCTCGCTCGAAAGAGTCGCATTGGAGCATCGCCTTATAGCGCTTGGAGTAGGCCTCGGAGGCGACTGCGATCAAACATCACATTGAGACATTGAAATATAGATGCGAGCATCAGAATAACGAAGAATTTGTATGCAATTAGAGGGAATTAAATATCAAGGTAAATGTTAGTAAAGAGTTGTCAAGAAAGAATAAGTACGCACCAGAGATCAATACGGTCACTGTGGCAACGCCGAGTAGGGCCCATACGACAAACACAGATCGCCCTGCAGGCGTCCTGGGCGCGGGATCACCATACCCAATCGTTGTGAATGCAATAAAACCTGAACATCACGTTGCAAGTCAAGATCAGATGTTTCAAGGGTACGAACTTGAAAGCCTTACAGAAATATATAGACAAGCCATATGACCAGCCTTCGGTCAGACTAAATATTGCAGAGCCAACCTAAGGCGTTTGTCAGATCGCTCGATATATATAGTATGATGTTGGGGGCGATATCGCAGCGAAACTCACCAACCAGAACGCAATGAAGAATATCAATGCCAAGGACGAGCGCACGAAAAGAGCATGCTTTTCCTTTCTCGCGACCATCGAATCATATTTGACATTTATATCGTCGCTGCTCGATGTCGTAGCGAATGTCGTAGAGCTTTCAGTGTCATGTTCACCTTCAACTGAGACATCCGCGCCAGTCCTCAAGCCACGTTTATTGTTCAAAGCAGAGTCTTCGCTAGGATTTTTGACGTCGCCGACAGTGGCCTGTAGTATAGGTCCTTTATCGTCCAGAGAAACTCCAATTGCAAATCTCGTTAGGAGTGCTGCCATCGCACCGAGCCGCTGGTGCGTTAGCATTCGATGCGCACCGCGCCGTACATTCATACCATACACTGAATGCGGAACAGACAAAGCAGGGTATATGCTCCCAATCTTCTCCTGTAATGAGTACTACATGAAAGAAAGGCAGAAAAACACTTACCTCCAAGTCATCAGCATTATCGTCGTCGTGATCGTTCTGCATCTGCGCTTCGTAAAACTGTGGTGGGAGCAGTGTATCAAGTGGAACGCCCGCTTCCATGGCCGCCGCTTTCAACTCAGCATGTGTGAGCGCTTCCAGGTTCAAACGTTTTCCACGGAAATGATCCAAGGGGTGTGGGATCCTTTCTGCAGCACTAAAGAACCTTCTCTTCACTTTGGCCCAAAAAGAGTTGGATGTCGAACGGCATTTTTGAACCCACACTTTTGCACCTTTGTCTCGCAATCTCCAAATGACTGCCGAACGCCATCGCCTTTCTGCATTCCTTCGTCGCCGTGCGGCACGTCTTCGTTCTCGAATATTCTGTAGGCGACGAAAATAGCCGATATGTAGCCCTTCTCTCACTGTCTCTTGTACCATGCCCACCACCACGGCAAGATTGACGATACCAAACGCAGCGTAAAAGCATATGAATATCCTTGATCCGGGAGTATCAGGCACAATGTCGCCAAGGCCAATAGTTTCGATTGTCGTCACGGTGAAGTAAAGCGCGTTGATAAAGCTCAGAGAGAGCAAGAATGAATTGACTAAAGAGCCGAATGCGATGTAAACAAATAGGATCATGAGAATGATCATTAGCGTGCGTTGCTTTCGGGTGAGGCCACTGCCTGTATCATGTTAGGGCGGCGAGTGAAGAGAATAGGATACGGGATACATACCACTTGTCTTGAAATCAGGAGTGCAAATGAAGTCTATGATAAGGCTTACATTGGTGACGAGCGATACGACTGTGGAGCAGACAGTCATCCAGAAGGCTTCACCGTAGGTAAACCCGTCGTTAAATCGGTGGCTCACGCCAAAGATGATGAGAGCGACGATATTGATAATATCTATACCTCAGGTTAATAAATGTCTTTGCTGAAACTGAGGCACAAACCGTGGATGGACAGAAACACAATACATAGTATTGTCATTGTCACGACTCGCTTCTCAAGAAACCTTAGGATGATGCATACATTAGCGAGGACAGCGCAAGTCATGCTAAATGCAAGGCCGATATCCAATAAGACTGGGTTAGCACGAGTCTGGACGGTACTATAATTCTCGGTACGGATGTACCAGTACCCGGTAAGCCCTGGAATCTCGAGCAATATCGAGAATGGTACCACGATGCCAGTTATAAGGGGAATGCACCGGTAGTTTGGTGCGTAGGACAAGTCGTCCGATGACGGCGGAAACACGAATGTCTTCACTCGAGTAAAGAATGACGGACGTTTGTCAGGAGAATCGAGGGAAAGCAGCTGGAGCGGGTCAGTCTGCGGGACTGAGGAAGATTCGTCTGGAGGTAAGCCACTATCCTCATCGTCGTCCATATCCAGGTGCGTTTCCTGGACTATGTCTTTCTTCTCGTCCACGTCCTCTTCATCGTCGTTGTGAGCGCGAGCGCCCGGGTTCCTCTGTACATTGGGAGTTTCACTGAGGGTCTCCGGACCCTTCTCTGGATCAGATTGCCTTGTCCTGATAGATATGAAGGCAAATACGAGGGCTATCAGGGTCTGTAAGGCCATGTGTGATACATGGATGTGTAAGGGGATGATAGGGATGGTGCACTATCACTGCATGCAATTATATCAATCGTGGACGGTCATAACTCTTGTTCTGTGCAATACGGAAAAGGTTACATACGGTCGGCTTACTAGTAATGGTCCGCTCCAGTGTCTCACGTCATCATGTTGATCCGGGCCGAGCGCTTCAGCTAAATAAAAATATGATAATGTTCCCCTCTGCCATCCGTGCACAGAACAGCTAACTACGCTCATATGTAGTTTCCGTTGTATATAAATATCTCTTTCAGCCTACTAATCAAGGTAACTGGATGCGATGATCTACCCTGTCTAGTGGTTGGTGAATGGTATGCAGTCTGTATACTTATGAGATCTTCGACGTCTCTTGCCATGACTTGGTCATGATATACGCGAACAATGGCCATATATTGGACTGATTCTCGACAACACTGAGGTGACATAGCAACAATACGCGGGAGTTGGGAAAATAGCAAATGTGAACGTAGCTTTGAGTCTTTAACTATCAAGTCATGTAATGATTTTTAATAGAAAATGGCACAGCAACCAAGCCTAGACCTCGGAGGGACAAATCGTGATCAATATTTCTTGACGTTTCTCCTAGGAGGTCAGCCTCCCACGAACTACGACTCCCCCAACCTCCTTCCAGACCCCCAACTATGTCCCGTCACCCGCCCCGATGCAGCAGCTTCCTCAGCACGCTGCCTTGGTGCAAACGCCTGCACGGCACCCCTTCTGCTTCCCGCACGTCCATATTCTTCACGCTCGCCAAACCAGCTCTTCAACCACGCAGGAGCACGTCCCCACCCAGCGTACATGCCCTGTTCAACACCGCCCGAGCCGATGCCGGAGCCCCAGACTAGCCACCACCACGCGTGTCCGACAAGCATCCCGCTCACACCCTGCGCAGCGGCACTTGTGCCACCGGTGAGGAGGTCCATGCCTAAGAGTGCGTATGGGAAGTATGCGACCGGGATGGTGATGAGGCCCATGACGCTGGTTAGTGCGCCTGGCGGGGAAAGAGAACACATTAAATAGGTGAGAGTATGAAGCAAGGCGCGGGTATGCGTGTAGGATTGGATAGGACGGTTCACACCCTATGAGTATTAATCGCGAATGTGAAATCTGAGGTCATGGATAGCGCAAATGAGATGTGGGACGTACGACCAGAGCGAGGCTAGCAAGAAAGAGCTGCCAGGCGTAATCGGAGGAACGGCGCTCGTAATGAGTTGTTTCAAGCGCATTCGAGTTGCGGCTTCAAATCACGATTTGTCGGTTTCTCGATCAAGGGAAAACGACATATGGTACTTACTAGAGCATGGCAAGCTCGAAGATATAGTTCAGGTTCATACCTGAAACGTGCGGTGAGTTCGCATAGCGTCACATATTCCATAATGACAAGATACTCACTTCCGAAGAAGCAACTTGTGTACAATCTCCAGAACTATGAATTGTGTCAAGGACCGTTAGGCTCATTGACAGATCTTCGGTCACATAAATAAGAACAAGCATAGGACGCACCTCGAAGTCTTTAATAACAGCCTGTGACACGAATACAAGCCTCCATGGCGAGACAAGGTGCAGAATGGCTGGGAGGGTGATGCCGAGAGACGATGCAACGAGAAAGCGCGTTACTGGCGGGATTTTTCGAATTTCGGTGAGAATTTCGGCCATTGAGAGGAATGTGAAGGGTGTGGGTGTGGTACAGGGAAACAATCGATGATGGGTGAGCTTCGATGGAGAATGGCCAGTACTTGAAGCTTGAGTTTGAGGACTATTGTTGAACTAGCCCTCGGTGAAGTCGACGTGTTCAAGTTCAATCCTGACTAAGCAAGCGGCATTTACGAAATTCATTTCTTCTGGTTGCCCTCACTGTGAAGTATAGCGGCCGCGGTCCTCGTTTAGCACAAACCACAGTCCCTTTGCGTTGCGCATTCAGACGTGAGTAGTATACACACGAGAATTGACCTGATGTGCTTCTAATGACCACGATTCATACTCCCTGAAGTGACTCAGACTCTGCCTCATACTTGTTGGGGTGTCATGCCCGTGCAGCTCTCCACGGACGACGATGTTGATATTCCGTCACCCTCTATTCGCAACCTCTCCCTGTCTCCTTTGTTGTACTTAGTCAAAGCATTCCTTTCTCTCACTCCTCCGCGCTGGAAACCAGCCATATATGATGCTATTATCGGAAATCGTTACATGTGCACCCCCATGTACCATGACATTTTCCGTCTCCCCTTTGGACTCGTTTTGAAGGTTGTAAAAAAACACAGTTACGTCGAAGCAGATGCTCTGCGTTTCGTCAGCACCTTGCGAGATATCCACGTTCCTCGTTACATCGACAGCGTATCGAGCCAGTACAAAAGCTATCTCCTCACTACTTGGGTAGAAGGTGACTGCCCGGGTGACGTATGGGATGATCTGACCGCATCTGATAAGGAAAGGTTAGCGCACGATTTGCGCCACCAACTAGGTTCGATGAGACTTCAGACCCGGTCTTACGAATTTCGTGCCATCTGCAACGCTTCAGGCGGTCCCGTTGACGATCCACGGATTCCGTGGGTGGCTCGGGAGAATCTCCAAACGATTCCATCCTCTCAAGACTTCGCTGCGGAGGTTTGGACTGGACTGGATTGGCCGATGAATCGCGACACGTTGCAACCCTTACTACGACCTCTCATCGACCGCGACGGAGTTCCTGTCGTATTTAGTCATGGGGATCTTCTTCCAAAGAATTTGATTTTTCCGGGTGGCCTCAATCATTGGCGATCGGGCGGAGAGAAAATTTGCATCATCGATTGGGAGTACGCTGGGTGGATGCCAATTTTCTGGGATGCATTAAAGGCAACGTGGTTGGAGTGCGAACCTGATACAGAGTGGTTGCAAATGATGCGGATGATTTTCCCTGATTGCATTGAGGAATTGGATGCTGATTGGCAGTGGCGAAGTCGTTCGGGAGTTACGATCCTTTAGAGGTCAATCTTTTGACAGTAGGCACCAGCGTAACCCCTTCAGCAAACTGGACAAGCGGAGCGAGTCAGTTATCTCGGAAGCTGCACGCTGGTAGGTGACTCATGAATTTTGCACTCTTCCAGTTTTCCCATGATAGTGGTATTTGCGATGCCTTCCAGGCGTTTTATGTTCCCCGCAATCAGTTTGACAAGGGTGCCGACGTGCGGCAGGACTTGTTACTGGACAACATCCTTGTCAATATTTACCTTATTGTGTGACCTTTGACGTCCTTTGACAGCTTGCCGGGTGAGGTATGGGATCATGGCATGCCAAGTTTCGAATTTTCACATGCCTAGTTACGAAGAGTCATCCAATGCGGGACCGCGATTATATTCTAAAATTACAGATTCACTACTACGGCCACGAAAATGGAGAGATAAAAGGACGTATTTTTGTTCCAGTCAGTGTATCACTTCGCGGGTGAATCATGGATCCTACACCATTGGTAAGTCAACCTCGTTGGATAACAACTAAACGATCACTGAGATTTTGACTTGACACTTTCAAGGCGAACCCCAGCTACAGCATTACCTATGATCAGGTGTCAGCTATAGATGCGAACTGCACAAAGGTAGTTTTCTGATCTTTCTTACTATCATCGCTCATCGTCTGCTTAGATACATCGAGTTATGTCACCGACGCATATTGCAACCGAAATTCCGGTTGAAATCCTCTGCATCATCTTGGAGCTTGTTATGCCACCGACTCAGCATTTCCTTGATTCCCCTGTCATTGCTCGCGACAATCGTCACTCGCGGGTTTTTTCACTGCAGACTCTCAGGAACATTGTACTAGTATCCAGGCACTGGTATAATGTCGGCATTAGCTACCTCTATCGCCATGTTGTCATTCTACAGAGCAAGCAACTCTTCGCGCTTGCACGTGTCGTCTCGAACAACAGCAGCCTCGGCGGGTTCATACTATCTCTGCGCCTGCAGTGTTATATTTTAGAGTCGCAGATGGCTGCAGTCTCAATGGCTCTGGACGGCATCTTAGCGGTGACTCCAAATCATACCAAAGTTACTATAGCGCCCATCTTGAACAGACGCCGCCCTTGGTTTGGTCATGAGTTTCTCCGCATGGTCGCTCTCGCGCAGAACACCCCCTCTCGCACCACAGATATGCACTTCAGTATCAATCCCACGCTAATAAATACTCTGAAGTTCATGCCAACTTTCACGTGCCTCACTACTTTCCATATCGATATGTTCATAGGAGGAAACGATGCACTCCCCACCGGGCACATACATCTTGCCTTTTTGGAAGAGCTACACATTACTTGGCAGCCGCGTGGACATGTCAGGAACGTTTTTTCTGCACTAGCTGAGATCCTCAGCCTCCCCTCTCTTCGACGTCTCCTTTTGACATCACGAGATGTTGGGAATGGTGCAGTTTTTCAGCCACTGTTGCGTAAATTTGGACAGGGTCTCCACTTTGTCTCGTTAGTTAGGGACCATCACTATTGTTTTCGTTACAAGCATAGTATGCCTCCTCCTCCTCCCCCACCAGTGATTCCATTACTGTCGATGTGTCCAAATTTACGCCACCTCGCCACGGACACATATGGTCCAATCCGAATGCCTGCGCATGCACATTTGACATGGGTAGACTTGTGGGTTTGGAGAGAATTTTTGGATCGGAGCGAACGGTCAGCGCTAGCTGTGACTCTCATTCCTCACGAAGAGAGAGTCAAGCTCCCTTCATTGGGTGGCGTGCGGTTACTTGACCTTTCTTTATTCCCGTTCAGTGGCGCCCACACGCCACTCCTCATACCGCCAGATATGGTTGGGAGCACGGAGAGCGTCGCTTCGAGTCTGGACTTGCGCCATGACCCTGGATTAGTTCATAGATGTTTAACCTAGACACAGATAAACACCTCAGTCTCGGTGGAACGGACTGAATTAAGTACCTAGACACAGATAAACACTAGTACGTAGCGTGTTAGTGTCTAGTAATCGTAGCGGGAGAACAAAACAGACGTACCCTCAGTCTCGGTGGAACGGACTGAGGGAAGAGATGGTACAAGATGGTTCAACTATATATACGAGTCTGTGGATGGAATCCTACTATCAGTTGGCGCGTCGTCACGTGCACTCTGTGCGCCAACACTCCTCCTCGACGCGACAAGTAACTCCTCCTCGAATGATTCACCGTAGGCCCAAGAATGTGCGCAGGCGATCGAAATCCTTCCGTGGCAAGGCCTTTGTGAAGATGTCGGCGATGTTATCTTTGGAACGCACATAATGAAGTTTGAGTTGACGGCGGGTCACCCGTTCGCGAATGGAGTGGTGAGCCATATCAATGTGCTTGACCCGTGCATGAAAATAAGAGTCTTCGGTGAGAACGATAGCGCCGTTGTTATCACACATCAACGGAGACGCCGAAAGTTGTGGAAAATCGAGTTCGAGAAGAAGCATACGGAGCCACGCAATCTCTTTACCAGCCTCAGAAGCAGCCACGTATTCTGCCTCGCAAGTTGACAGTGCAATGGTCTTCTGCTGACGCGCGCTCCAGGTGACGAACCCACCGCCAAGGGAACAGCAATATCCGCTAACGGAACGACGGGAGTCGACACAGCTTCCAAGATCACTGTCAGTATAGGCAAGAAGGCGGGCAGTGTGATCACCACCAAGTACAAGAGAGAGTGTGCGAGTACCCTTCAAATATCGAACGACCCGTTTGGCGGCCTCCCAGTGGACACGCCCGTAAGAATCGAGGAATTTGCAAAGCTGTTGAACAGCGTATGCGATATCGGGGCGTGTGCCGATGGCGAGGTACATAAGGGAACCTACGAGGGAACGATAAGGTGTGCGTGCCATGAGATCACGTTCGGCATCAGTACGAGGGGAGTGATCACGCCGGGAAAGATGAAGACCTGGATCCATAGGGATGGAGACAGGGACAGCGTTCTGAAGGCCAAATTGTGATACAACTCGATCAATAAGGGCAGTTTGAGAGAGTGAGATGGTGCGATTGGGTCGGTCACGCGCAATAGCGATGCCCAAACAGAAGTGCGCATCCCCGAGTTCAGAAACCTGCCACTTAGTTTTCAGTTGAGTTTTGAAATCAGAGATAACTGCCTTAGAACTGCCGACGGTGAAGAAGTCGTCGACGTGGACAGCGACGAGGAGTATGCCAGAGCTGGTGCGACGGTAATAGATGCAATGTTCGCTCTTAAGACGAGCAAAGCCCCAAGATAGCATAGCGTCATTGAGTGTACGATTCCATATGAGACCACCCTGCTTCATGCCGTATAGACCTTTTTGGAGTTCCCAGACATGATCCTCATAGCCAGGCTCGACGAAACCTTCGGGCTGTTCCATATAACAGATCTCGTCGGAGTCGAGAAGGCCGTAGAGGAAGGCTGTCTTAATGTCCAGTTGTTCGATTTCCCAGTCGAGAGCAGCGCCAAGATGAGCCAGAATGCGAAACGACTCGAGACGCGCAGTAGGTGCAGAGGTCTTGGTATAGTCCTGACCCCAGACAGCGGAATAGCCTCGGCATACATACCGAGCTTTGAACCGAGCTGGATTGCCTGCCTGATCCCTCTTCAGCTTGAAGACAGGACGCCCTTTCATAATCTTGCGACCGGTAGGGACAGTAGCACGAGGGACGAGTTTATAGACACCCAGATCGTGAAGTGACTTGAATTCGTCGCGCATCGCCTCAGTCCATGCAGCCGCATGAGGAGAAGACATGGCCTCAGTGTAAGTGACAGGATCGGAAGGGTGCTCGTGCTCAAAATCATCAGGTGTAGCTGCAAAGACGGACGTGAGATAAGCAATCTCAGCTTCCAAGTCCGCGAGGTCATTGACAGTGGGGGACGTGGTGAAAGCAGACTCAGCAATGCTCGGCAAGGCGTGAGTACGGTCAGCGGCAGCCAGAGAAGCTAAAGCATGACGCTGAGTAGCATTTACGTATGGTATACCTTCAGTATCACAGCGTCGTTCAGAAGGCACGGGGGCACGGGCAGATCGCCGGGGTGGAGGCACAGGAGGCTCAACAGAAATAGGAATGGGAGGTGGGTCATCCTCGTCTGGTACTTCAGTGACTGAAGCACGCTGCGACGGGACAGGCTGAGAAGCCTGCAGAGAAGCATTATCGTGGGAGATACCGGGATGAAGAGGTGCATTAGCGGAAGTATGCGACTCAATAAATGAGACGTGGTATGACACGAACACCTTATGAGAGGCCCGGTGGTAGCAACGATAAGCTTTGGAGTCAAGAGAATAACCAATGAGTACACATTCAACAGAACGATCGTAAACCTTGGGGTTGTGACGGTTCTGAACAAGCACAAACGCGCGACAGCCCACCTCGTGAAGGTGGCTGAGATCGGGTTTGGTGCCGTGCCATCGTTCATAGGGCGTGTGACCAGCCTGCGAAGAGACGGGCGTGCGGTTGGACAGATAGCAGGCAGTTAGAACAAATTCGTCCCAGCGATTCACGGGAACGTCACAAGCAGAGCGCATAGCGCGTGCCTTACCCATCAAGGTGCGGTGTAATCTCTCAACACGACCGTTCTGCGCCGACGTATAGGGCGCAGTGAATTGGTGAAGAGTACCACGCGAGAGGAGCCACTCTCGCATGGCCTCAGACTTGAGCTCGCCATTGTCAGACCGGTAGATACCGACTCTGGAGGAGGTTTCGAGCTCGCGAGCTTTCTCCCAGGCTTGAAGCGCAGGGAAAGCATCGGATTTAGCAGGTAAGGGGATGGACCAAGCATACGACGAGAAATCATCAATGATGTCCATTATGTACTTATTTCCGGCAGCGGATACAGTGTCAGGATGCTCCATGAGATCCACATGGACTATACCCAGTTTCCTAGTAGCCCTAACACCTGTGCGAACTTTCGGGACAATAGACTTAGTCTGTTTGCCAAGAATGCAAGCGTCACAAACAGGAGGTGAGGTGGATAGGGTGATAGGCATACCAGTGGCATTACCAGAGCGGGCAAGATCATACACGGCGCGATAGTTGGCGTGGCCAAGACGACGGTGCCAAGACTGAAGGTCAGGGACGCGTTGTGCCAGGAAAACGTGGTCCGCAGAGAGCTGCCCACCCGAAAGAGCATACAGACGACGGGATGTAAGGGAGCCAGAAAGCATGCGGGAGCCACTACGAGCAGTAACCCAGCAGCTAGAGGCGTCGAAGGACGCGATGCAACGGTGTGCACTGCATAGACTAGAGACGGAAATGAGACGTACAGTAGCCGTAGGAATGAATAACACGTTGTCGAGAGTGATGTGAGTCCCCTTGGAGACAACCAAACGAAGGGTGCCAACGCCGAGCGCCTGGATGGAAGAACCGCCGATGCCACTGACGGTGCGAGGAGGAATGGGACGCAGACTGAAGAAGTCAGACTCAGTGTTACTGATATGAACAGACGCTCCACTGTCAAGGAAGAAAGGCACGATGGAAGGATCCACGATAGTGCGTTGACGCTGATTTGGCGCCTTATAGGTGATGCCAGCGAAGTCAACAGGTTGGCTGCATTTGTGCCAGTCAACACTGGCCTGCAAGGTGTCCAAAGCGGAGTAGAGGGCCAGTTCGTCACTGTCAAGCTCTGACAGCTCCCGGATGAAGGCAGGCGTGATGGTATCACAGGCGAGGCCTGCAAACTCGCGAGAGTCAGTGTCAGATGACGAGGAAGGAGGTGCAGCAGGGGGAGTGGCAATATAGATAGCCTCGTGGGTCTCGCCATCAAGGATATATGCGCGTCCACCAGTATCATAACGAACGGCACCCGGCTTCCCGGTGGATGCAGGCTTGGCAGCGGGTTTTGCCCCCTTGCTGTTGGCCTCACGAGCCGTGCGTTTCCGTGCAAGGACCTCCTCCCGTTTGCCTTCCATACTGCCACCCTTACCAAAACAATCCTTAGCGTAGTGCCCCCAACTATTGCAGTTGGTGCAACAGTATGAGTGGCCCTGACGACCGCACTCAGTACAGGTCTTGGACCGGCCGCCATGGGAATTGCCCCCTTTACCACTGGCAAGGAGAGCAACATCCCCGGAATGCCCCTTCGCGGTGTCGATAAGTTGCTGCTCGACATCGAGACGGGAACGAATGTTGGAAGGGCCATAGACACTGGTAGTGGTGCTGGTGGCCAGAGCATCTGCGATATGGTTGCGAACATGGGGGAGGTCATCTGACATGGCGTTAAGCATCATAATCGTTAAGAAGTCGTCTTCTTTAGGTAGGCCTATGGCATATATGCGCCTGACCACCTCACTGAGTTGAGTGCTAGTTGTAGCGAGGCGTTCTGAGCGACGGTAACGAACAGCGAGGGCCTGCTGGATGAGTAAGATCTGTGCGATAGGGCCGACTTTCTCGTGACGAGATTTGAGCGCATTCCAGGCCAGATAGGCATTGGTGAAGGTGCGAAGGAACTCCTGTTCTTCAGAGCTGGACCGCGTGCGTAAGGCTGCAATGATACATAAGTTATTAAGGTCCCAGTGGGACGCGCTCGCAGGATCAATGGAGGGATCGGGACGCATAATGAGTCCGAGGATATAACCACCCCCGTGTTTCAGAAGAAGATAATTCTCCATCTTGTCGGACCAAATCCCCCAGTTATTCTTACCGCGGTCCAGAACCTCAATCTTCTCCAGATCGGTTTGACTGAGAGTTATGGCCGTGACGGCAGGTATGACGACGGGGGAAGAACTGATCGCGGTGCTAGCGGTGCCGGGATTAACGGTACTCTTTGTACGAGTGTGCGCCGGCATGACGAGCAAAGAAGTTGAGAAGAAAGAACAATCAGAGATAGAACCCCACGAGTACGAGTTATATAGGATATCTCAGAAGCTTCTCGCCCGAAAAGGGAAGCAACGAGACGGTTCGATGACGAAGATCGAAGTACGATGACGAGGATCGAAGATAGCGACGTAATGCGCCGCACACCCGAGGTACGGTGGCCTGGCGTGATTGTTCCTGGGCAACCTGTGTTGTCTAGATGGTTTCTGCTACTCGTTTACGAGTGAGCAGGGCTCATAACCTGTTTCACCTAGACACAGATAAACACCTCAGTCTCGGTGGAACGGACTGAATTAAGTACCTAGACACAGATAAACACTAGTACGTAGCGTGTTAGTGTCTAGTAATCGTAGCGGGAGAACAAAACAGACGTACCCTCAGTCTCGGTGGAACGGACTGAGGGAAGAGATGGTACAAGATGGTTCAACTATATATACGAGTCTGTGGATGGAATCCTACTATCAGTTGGCGCGTCGTCACGTGCACTCTGTGCGCCAACAATAGACAAACTATAGACGACGTGCTAGCTGAGAGCCTGGAGCACAGGTTGTGACCAGGATCTGTATGTTGTACGACGGGTTAGCATGCGAGTCTTGGGTAGAAGAATGTCATTATATCGTTGGCTAGATCTGCAGTGCACTACCTCAGTATATTACCGTACTAATATATCTATGAGAAGTTGAAAACCTCAATTTCATCATGTGCGAAGTTGTTCAACCACAAGTGCTGCTGAGCGACGTCGAGTCAAAATATTTTCGGCCAACTCTGGAGTCGATTTTTCTTCTGTTTTGCAACTACAATATAGTGCACGCATATGCACAGATAGCACATTTCGGCCAATTGATAATTTGTTTTGATGTACCAATACTTGTCGATCGTTATGTAAATCTATGCTTTGTGGTGCGGTAGTAATGCGGCATTTATGTAAAATACGGTACCTGGTGACTAAGCAAGCAAGTTTTGCCAGTCGCCCTCAGCAAACCGGACAAGCGGGAGTGAGTAATAAAACGCTCCTTGTAGCATCCTACTGTCCTTCGGCATTCGAGTCGGCTGTCTCGGGACCTCAATGCTAGTAGCTGACTCTTGAATTTTTACACCCTCCGAGCAGGAGTTCTCTCATGATAGTGGGATTTATGATGAAGTTTCCAGGCGTTCTATGTTTCGCACGTCAGTGCAATCAGCTTGATGAGGGGTGCAGGTGGCAACAGAACTCGTTGCTGGACGGCCGCATCTTTGTCAATGTGACCTTCGACCTCTTTTGACAGCTTGCCGGGTGAGGTATGGGACCATGCACGCATCAAATTCCTCACGTCAAGAATTTTCACATCCCTAGTCGCGAAGAGTCATTGCGGGACCATGATTGTACTTCAAAGTCACAGATTCATCACTACGGCTCCGAGAGCGGAGAGATAAAAAGACGTATTTTTGTTCCAGCCAGCGTATTCTTCGCGGGTACATCATGGATCCTATGCTATTGGTAAGTCGACCTCGTTGAATAACCAAACAATCACTGAGATTTTGGCTTGACGCTTCCAAGATGAACCCGAGCAGCACAATTACCTATGATCAGGTGTCGGACATGGATGCGAATGCGGACTGCACAGAGGTAGTTTTCCTATCTTTCTTACTATCACTGCTCATCGTCTGCTTAGCTATATCAAGTCCTGCCACCGACGCATATAACCGAAATTCCAGTTGAAATCCTTAGCGTTATCATGGAGTTCACCATGCCACCGACTCAGCATTTCCTAGATTCCACTGTCATTGCTCGTGACAATCGTTCCTCGCGGTCTTGTTCGCTGCAGACCCTTAGGAACATTGTGCTAGTATCCAGGTACTGGTATAATGTCGGCATCAATTTCCTCTATCGCCATGTTGTGATTCTGCAGAGCAAGCAACTCTTCGCGCTTGCACATGCTGTTTCGAACAACCACAGCCTTAGCGAGCTAATACTATCTCTGCACCTGCAGTGTTATGTTTCGGTGTTGCAGGCGGTTACAGTCTCAATGACTCTGGACGACATCTTGGCAGTGACTCCAAATCTCACTAAAGTTACCATTGCGCCCATCTTGAACAGACGCCACTTTTTTCTTGGTCACGAGTTTCTCCGCATGGTCACTCTCGCGCAGAACACCCCCTCTCGCACCACAGATCTGCACTTCCGTATCAATCCCACGCTAATAGAAACCCTGAACCTCTTGCCAGCTTTCACATGCCTCACTACTTTCCATATCGATATGTTCATCGGAGGAAACGATGCACTCCCCACCGGGCACATACATCTTGCCTTTTTGGAAGAGCTGCACATTACTTGGCAGCCGCACCAACACGTCATGAACGTCTTTTCTGCACTGGCTGAGATCCTCAGCCTCCCCTCTCTTCGACGTCTCCTTTTGACATCACAAGCTGCTGGCGGCGCGATTATTGAGCCACTGTTGCGTAAATTTGGACACAGTCTCCACTTTGTCTCGTTGGTTAGGCCACATATAAAGCATGTCCATCCTAATAGGTTTTACTACTCTCCTCCCCCTCCTCCTCCCCCACTAGTGACTCCACTACTTTCCATGTGTCCAAATTTACGCCACCTCGCCACAGACACACATTTTCCAATCCGAATGCCTATGCATGCACACTTGACATGGGTAGACTTATGGGTTCCGAGAAAATTCTTGGATCCAAGCGAACAGTCAGCTGTGACTCTCGTTCCTCACGAAGAGAGAGTCAAGCTCCCTTCGTTGCGGGGGGTGCGGTTACTCGATCTTTCTTTATTCCCGTTCAGTGGCGTGCGCACGCCGCTCCTCATACCGCCAGATATGGTTGGGAGCACGGAGAGCGTCGCTTGGACTTATTCGAGTCTGGACTTACGCCATGACCCTGGATTACTTTATAGACAAATGATGGACAACGTGCTAGCTGAGAGTCTGGAGCACAGGTTGTGACCAGGATCTGTATGTTGTACAACGGGTTAGCGTGCGAGTCTTGGGTAATAGAAGAATGTCATTGTATATATGACTGGATCTGCAGCGTGTTGGCGACACTGAGTATATTACCATATTGAAATATCAATGAGAAGTTGAGAACCTAAACTTCATCGCACCGCACACTATGTTGAACTTCTGACTATCCCTTGGCATCATTACATCAATTCATCATCATCATTATCACTGCACAACGAGCAAGTGGTCCACAGTATGATTCTCGCCCTGATCCTTAGTAGTCATAGGCAATACTTTCTTGACCCAGGTGTCCCCAACGTATATCGGGTACCGCGTGTCACCGCCAGTGAAATATCTGTTTGCAATTTCTTCTCCCTTGGCAAACACCTTTATAGACGGGTGCGTAAGTGGGGCGATGAGGTCGCGTTCCTCTGGCAACATCAGACGAAGGTCAGCGATGTCCGACGAATCGACAAATACTGGTTGGCGAGCTTTGTCAGACAGGTAGTGGACTGGCATCAATCCCACAGGTCCCTGCTTCTGCATTGAGATGACTGACAGCACATTGGTGTTGCCGGAAAGGGTTCGGGTATGAGTCTGTGTTTGCATCCAGGGCACCCGGGGCACCCAGGGCACCCAGTCAAGTTCATCCGCGTCCAGAGTCTGCTTCTCCCATTGTAGCTCCTCGTATTGTAGCTCCTCGTATTGAGGCTTCTCGAATTCATTTTCGCATGGTTCTGATGGATCAGGCGCGATAAAGAGATCCAGATGGACAAGATGTCCCAGTTTCTGATAGTAAGTTGAAAAATCTGGAACAGCATCGTGTTCCACGTAGAGGGACAATGAAAGCGGTTCGGAGGACGTGGAAATAATGTGGCTTTCGTGAGCCAATGATGCAGGAGTTGCTGCAAAATTGATCTCTCTGCATGGGGAATAAGGTATTCCGACTTGAGATAATTCTGAATGCTGCCCGGTAACAATGGAGGGGACCAATGCCCTGACGAACGATGAAAACGGTTGTGATATGTTCTGGAGCTCCTGAGAATGCCATTCAATGTCATTCGCCGCGAACGCACACAGCTCTACAGGAATGTCTGTCCGATTCGTGAATCCTGTCCGATGAACAATGGCCGTAAAATTCACGGACGAGTCTAGAAAGCATCCAATCAGATCACTGCGTTGAGGTTTCCATTTCACTGAGACATACTTTGATAGATGTATGCTCCTTCAGGAAAAGATACTTCAATCGTGTAGTTGCTCCGCAACCCGTCTACTGATGGTTTCATGTTAAAACCGGGGGGTGCCGGAGATAGAGATACGTTAGCACTGGGTGCGTTGTTTTCCGTCGAGAGGTAGAACGGGTTAAAGGCTGTCATTCCGGCAGGTATCTCTGAAGTGGTACCATTGCTAAACCCGATTTCGACGAAGTACTCGTAAATCGATTCACCGGATATTATCTGTAACAACACTGAGCACAAGACAAAATCAATAACGACTGTTCTTACATTATCCTCTCCCCCGTTAGACATGAAGCCTACACGACCGTCTAATCCTGGAGGGTAGTTTGTATTTGGTACCAGAACTCCGAACCGGGTTGTGAAGTTTCTTGACAATGTATCTGTTCTCTGCATTAAGCTTTGAGTCAACTCAAAATCTCAATTCGTACCTGTCCTCCCTGCACCGGTCAGAGGACTCTTGATCTCAAAGGCAATTCGTTCTTCCTCATGCGTAGACCACGAGTCCTTATCCTGAACTGAGTTCTCGTACGGCCTCCAATTATACTTCCATTTGGGCCTTTCCAGAATCGGCGCATCTTCCCGTCTGTTTGGATGCTCAGTGGAGGATACGAGAGCGAGAAAACAACTTACCGCAACTCCCAGAACGCTCTTTCCTTATAGCGCAAGCCTATCGCATAGCTCTTGGCGTCAGTACATGGTCCGCTGAGTTTAATCTTGACATCCCCTGCGATGACTTCGCCGGGAACCATGTCAGGTGCTCTCACCCAGGCATGTGCCTGGCACTGAGACGGTACACTGTTTGGCTCTTTTGATTTTGGAGAGGGTGAGTCAGTAAACGCAACGACATTAGTCGCTAAGACAAGCGCGAGGGATAACCAGCACAGCATTGCTGGGTAACAGTATATCGCGATCAAGAACAACAGGACATCATGCCCAGATTGTCCAGCCTTTATAGTGAATGACAACGTCTCTTTGAGAGGACGCGTGGGGCTAAAGGGACGAAAATATCTACTAGGTGAAGATGCTGGCAAGGTACCGCGGTGACTTACATACCTCCAGCAAACATGCTCCACAGGAAGCTTTGTCATCATTAACAAATTCCTTGCCCAAAGTCTGATCCTCACTCCTCCAGTTGCTGTATGCCAGCGAACGGGTGATTCTGGATATGGAGGTGATGTTTCCTTACTATCCTAAAACTTCGTGGCCAAGGTTCGGATGTCGCTAGCGTCCCGTGAGATCCTCGTGTCATTACTAGTGTGCCTTCGACATAGTAGACTCTCTTGAAAGGCGCATCAATAACAGGGAGCATAGTAAGCCAAGAAAGCCTGTTATTGATTGGGTTCCAAAAGCTGTGGACTAATAATAGTCATTGTGACAGCGCACACTAGGTCCGTTTCACAGGTCGAAGTCACTTGTAATCAACGATATAGCCGTCTTCTTCTTTGCAATACAATCCTAGTACTGACATGTCAATTTGATGCGTTGATGTAAGATATTAATAATTATTTGTGCTCTTTTCAGGAACGATGGTAGATGACGCACAGTAGCTCTGTCTGCAGAGCAGACGGTCCAAACCGACGTAGCAAACTTTCACTGCTATGAACTTTGTGTTTTTACATCACCGTCCGTCGTATCATCGCCGCTATACGATTCTACATTCATATCATTCAATCCAAGATCCTCATTCTGTTGCCACGTTCGCTCGTATGCGACGACCTCCATATTCGGATCTGGATCAGGTGCATACAAATTCTGCACGTATGAGTTTGCTAGAGGGTCATCCAGTATCAAGGTGAATGGTATCTCTGCGTTCTTGACCTTAGCAATCATCAATATCAAAATGAGAGTCGCACGATGGTAGGAGAACACACCTGCTTAAGCTTTCTCAAGAACTCCTGGAACGCAGCTCTATCGTCAACATCTGCGACCCCAGAGTCTCCCGTGTTAAATACTTTCTCAGTGAGTTCCTCGTATACCTGATCTAAAATGCCTTCCAAAGTTGTGAAACGTCCACCTAGTGTGCCGGGGTGAAGAACGAGATCTATCTCCGGTATGCTAAGGCCGCTCGTGTCGCTCTACAGGACTCTCTTGGGTCAAAGAGCTTGAAAAAAAAGGAAGTGCTTACTTTAAGTATGTCTCGGCTCAGGTCGTCTCTATCTTCCACCTTTAACGTGATCTTCTTGCCAAGCTCAGAAATTGCAGCCCCTGACTTAATCTCATTATCCCGATATCCGCAGTCGTCGCAGTTAGTCGACATTATAAGAGTGTCCTGTCAGTAGGATTGTCAGACAAGATTATGTATGCCTTTGATACGAACCTTAAAATAAGGGATAGAAACTTTCTTCATGCGCGTGACAAGAGGCCGGCTGCAGCGCGAACAGATACCAGGGAACTCGAACACTTCCTCGTCCAGACCCCCAGGTTGCTGTTCTGTCTCATCTACCGCATTTTCTTCTTTGTCTTCTGCAGGGGGTGCCAATCCAAGCTGCCGATTCTGCTCAAGCGATCGCTCGTATGTGCGCATGTTCCATTTTAGATCAGACATGCTGTCCACAAACTCGAGGAACGAATTCCCAGAGGGATCGTCAAGAGTAATGGTGATCGCACGTGCAACTGGATCCTCTTTCAAAAGGTCTCTCTTCTCAAGCTTGTCCTTTCCTTCTTCATCTTCCTCTTCGTCATCAGCAATGATCTCCTTGAGGCCATCGATAATTTCCTGGATCTTAGCGTATGCGTTCTCATCTTGGATGCGTCTGAGTGGCTGCTGTACATTGAGATCCGCAACAATGTCCCTGAGAAGGCCCTCGACAGTTGTAAGCTGCCCACGGGAAGGCGGAAGGACCAGCTGAAATTCAGGGATGTTGATCGTACAAGATTCTGAGCGGATGAGCTGGCGGTCAAGGTCACTGCGATTAAGGATTTTGACTGTGTACATAGCGCCTTCAGCTGTCTCAGAGATTTCATGTTAGGAGGTACGAGTAACAAGATGAAACGGGTGCGCACGTCGAATCTTCCCCGCCGACTGAATCTCGTTATTTGAATGGCCACAATGTTCGCATCGGAAACTCATCACGATAACTTCCCGGAAGAATGGGATGGACGTGAGCATCATTCGCGTTACTCCCTGATTGACGTGAATATTCAATTTCACCAGCATTGAGAATGCTTGCGAACGCACCTGCTCCCCACACTGCATGCAAAGAGACTCGATCTCCTCCATTGGTCTAGCGCTGATATCTTCTTCATCTCCGGCATTGGTTTTATCGACAATGTCTGCGATCGAAGGGAAGAATTCGGGGTTTTCCTCAGTTTGAGCCATGTGTCGGTTAGATGGTGGAAATGATAGCAACGAAATTCATCTCCTGCAGTCAGACCAAATTGGAAGTTAGACTTTCTTACTAATGTCAATGATCACACACCTGTTCAAACAAGGGCGTAACTCGCGCGCCACGAATATCCGAGATTTTATTACTACATAATAACTAGTAGTCGTTGAATTGAAATTTACACAGCGAATGGCTAGGATAACCATCTGGCATCCCCACAACTCGAATCCGTCCATATCTCTCTCGTGCTGGCCTTCAGCTTCACCGGTCACTGATAATGCTTCGTCGGGTCGGTATCCCCAACATACATGGGCTACTCCATGCGATCGAAGTAAAAGTTAGGAAGCCCTTGACCTCCTTCAGGCTGATGAACGGCTGCGCAATTGGTGCGAGAAGATTGCATTCCTCGTCGTCATGGAACGGAGGTCTGCGATATCTGACACATCGACAAATGCTGGTTGACGAGCTTCGTTTGACAAGCAGTGAAAACAGCGTTTGTCTGCATATCGAAATGAACGATAGACCCGCGACGGTCCCGCGTTGCCAGTCAGGTATCGGCGATGAACTGATATGGGAGATAACCAGGGCACTCGTTCAAAATTGATTTCATCCATCTTGTCTGCTGCTCCCATGGCTCTGATGGATCCGGCTTGATATGGAGATGCAGATTGACACGATATCCCAGTTTCCGATAGTGTCTTGAAAATGCACGAACAGCATCGTGACCCACGTGGAGGGATGATGAAAGCGGTTCAGAGTGGAAAGAATACTAGTACGACCTTCAAGTTTTGTAAATTTGATCTCTGCATGCCATGTGCAAAGCCACACACTTTGATAAAGGTAAGCTCCTTCAGAAAAAGACAGCGCAGCCGTGTAGTTGCTCCATAACCAATCGCTCCCATGGCTGCGAGTTCGACAGATGCGGGTGTTAGAGACACGTTGATATTGGTATTAATGTACAAGTACCATTCATGAGGACGATTATTTCTACGATTACAAGTCTCTGGTAGTATATCGGATAGTACACCCGCCTGTCATCACAAGATGGACGCGGGAAAGCGGGGTTCGATTCCCCGCCAGAGAGTCTTTTTGGGCATTTACTTGGGGAGTCTGAGCGAGTTTTTTATGCCCCGCCACGTCTGCATGCAATACAAGTTAATTTCGCAAATGGACTTCTTGAGAGCTATACATCTTCCATGGCTTTCAAGTCCTCACAATTTCTTTGATTTGGCCTACAGATTATACAGAATATATCTCACCACTCCAGGAATTCAAGTGGAAAATAAGTTATCAAGAACGCGTCGGATGAAACGACGGTATAAGGAAAATAAGTCCTAGTGATTGTGGTGAACAAAGCGGGTAACATGATGATGGTGATACGCGGGTGTAGCTGAAGGGGATATGTACGGGTGGCGCGAAATGAACAGAGCGCTGACCAGTAAAACAGCATGATGCAAGCGAGAACAGAGCAAGCAACGATGAAGAGGGGGGTGTCCAGGTGGGTACTGGTGCATTTGCGCGAATCGACAAATCGAGTACGGCAGACAGCGAGCGAGATGCGTACTAGATCAGACAGCAGCGTGACAGCGACAGATCGAGCGCAGAGCAGGAGGCATAGATGTGGCGCATAAACAGGCGGATGTGGAGAGAAACCGTATTTGATAATCATAGAATCAACTCAAAGAACAAAATCAAAGAACAAAAAATGAAGTTGGCGGTGTGGGATGGTGTAATGGTTGTGTTGCACAAAATTAACAATGATCATGATGCTCGTGTGATGGATATGATGCAGGCGGGGGATAGATATTGTGGGTGTCCGTAAAATGGATATGCGTTTTGGGTGAGTGATAGCCATGATTAAGAAGATTGAACGAAGGGGTAGGAGACCATGCGCGTCGCCGGCCTTATGAGTTTTCATCCTCGTCACCGTCCAAGCCTGCTGCTGCTAGCCGCTCTCTTTCCGCCCGATTCCTTGCACGAATGACTGGCAACTCGGCTAAAAGAGACACCTGCTCGCCTTCTTCCCACCGCTCTAGAGCCCACTCTCGTACGAGTATGCTCACCTGCATGATGATTGGGTTATCTAATATGCGTGCGCAGTTCATTAAGACGTACCTTCATGAAGCGCTTGCCGGCGTATTTCTTGTAAAACGATTCGTGACGGATGGGTTTAAGAATATAGTTAAGCATCAGGTTGGCGGTCGGAATTATGGAGCTTTCCGCATACGATGAGAAATGGGCGTGATTAGGAGTCTAGAGCCCAGAAATGTTATCAACAAGATCGAACATGCCACACACACTACTTACCCATTTATCATTGCCGAGAATGAGGCGTCCCAACCAGGTCGCCGCCGCAGCAACCAGGGAAGGTGGCGTGGCCAGCAACCGCCACTCCAGTGTACCCACTTCTAATAAATATTTTCCCATCGTCCTCGATTTGACATCGTAATCATCCGCTTTGCTTATACGGCGCAGGAAGTGCATCGGGTTCGGATAGCTCAAGTTCCAGTCGATTGTTTTCAGGACGTACCGCTCTGCGAGAAGGATCTCGGATTCAGTGTAGGATGAGTCCGCGCAGTGAAGGAAGTGTGAGACGGATGGTGCGACAATCTCTTCAACCTTGGAAGAGACGAATAGACACGTAATGCCCACGAGTTGAAGTTTAGCAAGGGAGACGACGCGTGCCGACAAGAACCTATCGATGATGTTCACGCAGAGGAACAGGGTCTCAGGAAGTAATCGGAACCGTGCGTGTACTTGCACTAGCCAATCGAGAAGGATTCCACGCATCGACCAGGCCAGCTCTTTTTGCGACGCCATGTATTCCGGATTGGGAAGTGTTATAAGCTGAAGGCGGCTCATTAATTACAATTGAGTGATAAAAATATTCGGAGACTCCTACCTCGGTCTGCTTCATGTACTTGAAGATCTCGACAACATATTCGCTGACCATCAATGGATCATCGGAATCCTCAGCATCGAGATCGTCCCACTCGTCACCGTCGGGGTCAGCTTCAGGTGCCACATCGACATCCAGAACAGCTGCCACTTCTGCCTCGTGTTGCGCTTGCTCGTCTATGTCAGTCTCGGGAGCATCAGAAGACGTTCGCCTCTTCTTAAATACACGATCGTCCTGAACTTCCTCGTGTATCTCAGTCTTTAAGACGAGATGCGAAGAAGTTCGTCGAGCAGCCTGAACACGTTGTACCTCCTGGGTGATCACCTGTTGGGTGTTCGCCCCCGACCTGCGGGTTGAAACACGTCGCGAGGGCTCAGGAGCCGGTGGGTGATCATCCACAGCCATTGCATCGTCGTCATTGACCACAAGTTCCTCCTTGATATCTTTCAACGGTTTTACCTCTGGGGCAATCACAGACCGTGTAGTGCGACGTGTGGGAGCGGTGATCTGTCTCAAAGGAATAGTGGGCTTCGCCTTTATCACTACGCCATCAAACATTTCCTTGGTCGGTGGGGCTACTTCTTTGCCTTTGCCTTTTCCGTCCTTAGCAGCTGTGGCAGCGGCCTTGTTCTTGTTGATGTTCTTGGTCGTAACTTCGCCAAGCGCTTCGCGCTTGCGCTTTCCCTGGAGAGTGAGATCGACCTTGTTTTCATCGTTGGCCCCAACTTTTGCACGAGAAGCCGCGGTAGCGCCCAAGGCCCTGGATTGGAGTGTGGCGGTGGGAGCGGGAATGGCAGACGTCGATGGAGGCTTCACACGGGAGATAACACGAGATGGGCGGGCATTAGCGTTCTCGCTATCCTTCTGAACCGCCGTACGGGTAACCCGCGTTACACGGCGAGTCTGAAACATAACATATCAATCAGCGACAAGCCCATCGATGACGAACAAGAGTCGATAACGCATGTGGGACTTACTGGTAAGTTGGAAGACATTAGCTATCTAATTTACGCAGAGGGTACTCTATCTGTGCGTGCAGTAGCTAGATGGATGGAATGTAAAACGAAGAGCGAACGGAGGATGAGAGGAACTACTTGAACTATTCCAGAAATGGCCATTTTAAATTTCAACCATCCACACATAACACAAACAAACAAACGCGTTCGCGTTTCATCACGTGATAAATGCCATTGTCCACGCGCACGAGAGCGCTTGTCTTTGGTCAGAGTCCATTATCGTTTATTATCAGTAGATGGGCTGCGCCATTTTGACTGTGGTCGGATGAATGTATTTAAAATCGCATTATGGAGACAGACATCATCGTGGCATTACGCGCGCCTCGTGATCTGCCGCATGTTGTCCACTGTTATGCAATGATATCGGTTGTCAGATTCCCATCAGTGCGCTGGCGTAAATACATAACCGATAACCAATTTGCGCTAGTACGGATCGCTTCAACGTCGACTATTTGCAACTCACCTGATTGTTTTCAAAGTCTAGTACTATCGCAGGTTCGCCGCAAGACTGAATTATAATTCATGACAATCCCAATATATTACAGCACCGAGTAAGCCGAGTACAGGATCTGCCTAAATACCATCACTAGAGGAGTCCAGTCCGAGAGATCCGCAAGTCCAAGAGAAACACAACCACCTATAGAGTTTCCCGTGCCACTTTAAAGGGCAGACGTGGAAGACAGATATAAGCAGCAATGAAACCCAAGAAAGTACTTCACCTCATCAGGATCCTCGAGGGAAAGCATCCCAGCCGAACGATGCAACCGGAACCAGGACCACCGCAAGCCAAAGGAACAGCCCGTTAACCAAAACACAAACCTTGCGACCAAATGCAAAAAGAAGGAAATCGTAGGAATGATGGGACAAGAAAAATAGGAAGAAGGAAAGAAAATTTCGGGAAGAGAAAAAAAACCTTTGCAAACGAGACACACTGTAAACTTGATGCATCAACATTCTTCGTGCTTCCGACGAGTCCTGGGTGTCGCATCATCCAGATCCAGAGCCAACTTCCGCTTGGGGGACGCTTCGTCGAAAGGGGCAAAGACGGAGCTAGCGGAAGGCCAGGAAGGACGGACGATGGGAATACCGAGTCCACGACGGGTGACGAATGGACGATGGCTGACACCAATAGGCTGGTGGATGCTGGCATACACGGAAATCGCATCCGCGAGGGGTGAGCCCGGAACGACGTCGAATGCAAAATCCGTGCATGCTGAGTCAAAACACGGAACCCAAGAGGGCATCGTAAAAGAGGGAGAAGGGGGTGCGGAAAGTGAAGAACATGGGGAGGAAGGGACTGATGTATGAGGTGTATCAACCTCAGAGGGCAGGGATACTGTAAAGACGATTAGCGCTCGAAAACGGTAGAAGCCGACGAAATCTCACTGTCAAAGTCATCCGTGGATGCCATCGAATAACACGAGACCGAGGAAGCAATAGACTCATCGTCAGAGTCGTCATCAAATGCCGAACGGCAGCCCTGATCAGTCGGTGGAACTTTGGATACAGTATGAGCTGCCACTTCGGGCTCTTCCTCCTCTTCTTCGATGACTGAAATTGCGATTCCTTGACGAGCGGAAGTTTTAGCGCCAAGCACAACAAAGAGGCAAACAACTGACCAGTTCTCTTCTCTACCTTGGTTAGCTCAGCTCTGATCTCCACAAACTGACGGAAGTATTTCTTGTTCTCCTCCTCCAGCTTGCGGCAGGCGCTGTTGCCCGCTTCAACCTGATCCCAGAGACCCGAGCGCTGAGCGAGAAGCTGCTTGACATCCTCCTGTAACTCTGCGTTTTCGTCTGCATGATGATGCAAAGCTGTGCACTGGTCCCTAAGGCCGACAATCTCCGTGTACGCGAGCGTAAGGCGTTCCCTCATCGAAATATTTCGATCTTCGCTCAAGGAATCGGTACCTAGGACGGCGTGTCAGCGATGATAGTTGGGGTAGAAAGGAAAGCATACTGCTCGAGGTATAGGGTATAACGTTCCCTTCAGGAGATATTATCTTCAATTCAGGTATTCCTGTTCGTGAGAGTCAGCCAACAGCGAAGAACATAGAGAAAAACGTCTCACCTGCAGCTGCTCTCTTCAACTTCCTCAGCTCCTTCTTGGCTCTTTCGAGTTCCCTCTTCGTCCGGACGAGCGTTCCTTGCAACGCTTGGACTTCTTCATCATGTTCTTGCTGTAAGTCGGATGGCGTCTTCTCGGCTATGAGTTCGTCGCGCTCGGCCTTAAGGTTTGCGATCTCGAAGCGGAGTGCAATGTTGGCAGATTGTAATGAGGAGAGAATAGACCTTTGGGAGCTCATCTTGGCTGTAGCATCCCGGGACGTCAATTCAGCTTCGTTGCGACGAACCTCTTCAATCTCTAGATCGCGCCTAAAACGGTCCATTTGGTTGCTCATGGTTAGATTCTCCAGCACGAGCCCATCGATATCAGCGTTGGCAGTGTTGAGAGCATCCTGCACATGTAAGAGCTGCTTCAGGAGAACGGCGTTCTCGTTCCACGCATCGGAGAACAGTGCGTGGACATAGTGGCCAGGGCCTATCGGAGCGTTGTGCAACTGCGGGCTAATGTCGGAACAACTGATGCTCCAGTGCAGCCGAGGCTCAGGTACAAGACGAGGGTTGTCCAAATCTGATTCCAGGATGGCAGGGGACGACGAGGACGGAGGAAGGCCTGATGGAGATGAAGCACATGTGGCTGACGAAGAAGCAGCCTTCGAGGTGCAGACTGCTTTCTCCGCTTCCTGGAGCCTGAGCGAATCTATGGACAGAGCAGGACTCTGGGCCGTCGAAGGGTCGAACTGACAGCGGCAGACGTCGAAGGCCAGCCCAGCCATGATAACAACAAGATAGAAGAGGACCAAGGTCACAATCTTGAGGACATCAAGGATAAAGACCAGCGTAGAAATCCCAGCAGAGAGAGAAGGGGAACACAAAGAGAGGCGAACGTTACACTTGTCGGAAGACATATCGATAGATAGGTGCAAGTAAAATCGTCTGGATATGCGAATATGCAGATGTGCGGACGATGGGAGTGAGCAAGAAAGATGAACACTGATGTTTCAGCCTTCGTGTGCGGGTTTTATACCTGGAAGGCTGACATTATTAAGTTAGCATGCCAGCCTCTTGGTCGCGATCAAGGTTTCACCGGATTTCAAACAGGCCTGCATACTTTGAATTAGGTATAAGACACTCTTGCCTGCTGCACCTAACTCGGATTAAAGCTTGTCCTTGCCCATTTGAAACGGATAAAACTTGTCCTCTTCCATGTAGCGTGTACTTGGCCAATTCGACACGACTGAGAAGGATGAGTCCGAGAAAACAACTTAGGCGTTGTTTGGATCACAAGCTGTTGCCAAACAAACCACGTCTAGGCTGACTAATAAGCCTCGAATTAGGTTGACCCCTTTTAAAGTTTTGGTACTACTGAGTCAAATCATAAATACCCCGGTACGATCCCACAATGGGCTTTGAACTCAGTACTCATGCCCGATCATCCCTCAACCTATCATTAGCGGTGTAAGTAACGTATACAGGTGTCTGCAAGCAGCTATTACAGGTAACAGTGTGATACATAGTACTATGTGGAGGAATTAAGTCGATGAAACACACTCATTGAATCTGAGGATTTACCAGCTACCAGAACCATAACACGGAAGTTACCAGAGAATATATCACCCAAACGCGAATAAGACTGGCCTGAGATAAGACACGGGGCACTTCCAGCTGGGTGTAGCCTCGCACATCATATATCACTGCATGAACGTAGAAGTAATAATACAATTGGGGCAAGATTTGATTATCATGATATCAGAATCAGAATTAGCTCACTTGATACGAACGAAAATAATCAAATTCGATTGAATGGCGATTTGAAGCTGAGAATTCGAAGTCAGAAAGAACTGATACAATTTACTTACATGCCACATATTGTTGCAGTCCGTCTGGTGAATCGGGACATGAACATGACATTAGACTAGTGCCCCCCCCCCCCCCCCCCATTTCACCACTGTCGGGGGGAGGTTTATTGGAGCTACTTACTCTGGTCACTCGGATCGACAGCTCTACGTCAGCTTCACTGTACCCAGATTAAAATTTGGACTGTCAATCTTCCATCTCTATTTCGCCTTTCACGAATCTTCCCCTTCATGCCTTTTTTTGCAAGATTGGCAACGGGGTTTAAATCTATAGAAGTTGATAGTCCAAATTTGTCCGGAACAGCGGGATTCAGGGAACCTAGTAGAGTGGTATCGGTGGTTCCATACAAGTGCGTCACAACTGCCAGTGGCTCCCACGAGTCTTGGGCACACAGGTTGACTTGCGCAGTTAGCATTAGTACTGAAGTACTGACACATGGTCAAATGGCATATTAGCACCGGATGTAAATGGATTGATATCATATTGTAGGCTCGCCTTTCATGCACATGCCCCAGAATAAATCCTGCAACGAAGGCTTCCCCCACTAGAATGAATGCAAGAGGAGGTACAATGATACCTATACGGGGAAAGACTCAAGATTTGCTTCTGCTTCCTCTTCTTCGTTTTCCACCAGATGTACGTTCAACCTCTCTTGGACAATACCTCATCCATCTGGCATCTGAGTACTACTCCCGTTTCCCATGCTATTGTACGGCAGTCGGAGCTGTTTGATCAGTTCCCGCTAACCAAAGGTTTCACAGGATGAGGCAACTCTAGGAATACAGCAAATATAAGCGCCGAAGGTGTAGGAATCTGGGGTAATATAATTAGGCGGATTCCACTGTTAGGGGTGGGACACATGCCGAGATGGAAGAATCGGAAAGCTGTCTGGTGGTCGTGGTATTGGATCAGAAGATACCAAGCGGTGCGGGACAAAGAGGATACAGCCGCCTGCAACGTTAACGCGATCTCACACCTATGTAGGAAGAAGACCTGTGACAGAAGCGTGTTACACATTCAAAACGCGACCAGACACAACATCGGCATAGCCCGAAACCATTCCTACGACGAAGGTTCTCCGCGGGAGTGCGATACAAACATAAGGCCTAGGGTTAGCATTGAACAAGACACCTCAGTTTCAAATCTATACCAATAAAGAGTAGATAAGGAGTCTCTTCGTCAGACAAGTTAAACCCATCCCTCCTGTACCATGTAGTTGAGATGAATTTGCATCGATTCGTCGACGTAAAATCCGCCCTAGCAGCAGACACTGCAGCGGCGGTGTTTGAGCAATGTACGCCGCATGACGTCTATTATGAGGTGAGAGAAAAGGCACAGCGTCTTGATACTATGCTTACTAGGCGGTGACAGGGTTGACATTTTCCTCACTCCTTTGTGGACATGGTGACGTTCGTGTTGTTTGTGCCCTATTTTCGTGCAGGAGAACTGAACTCAAATGTATACCGAATCCTTCCCTATTTCCCTGGGCTGCACAGGATTCGGTCTTCCTCTGCCAGCATCCCGAAACCGGCTTGGACACACTACTAGATGATCTTCGTCTTCTTTGCAGGTGTTTGGGACACGTACAACATGATTAATTAAGATGTTGCGCCTAACGACGAATTGAAAGCATCGATGCAGTTAAAGAATCATCTACAGAGGCGTTGATACCTAGATGGTAATAGTGCCCAATCAGCAGAAAGTCGCAATCGACAGATGATCTTGGAATGATGGCAAATCCCAAGGGAGGACGTTCGAAAAGGACAAAGCATGCTTATGAGTAAAACCTTCTTGATTCCGGTACAGAGATCCATCCCGTTTACCATGCCTGGCGACGGGAGAGTCTGAATAGTAGACACTATGGAAACCGTTAGACTTTCCATAAGACACGACTGTATATGCAGGAAAAGTGTCAGATGCGATCAAAGAATGATGCTGTGAAACGTTGTCTCCACGTGATCCGACGGTTCTTTCCGGGAACGGATTTTGTGCAAGTAAGTTATAAGATGTAGCAAATTCACAGCTTATTCCGTTCCGAAAGTGATCCTAACACGAGTGACCTCGTCCATAGGATGCAAGGCAGCCATCATAATGCTGTGCGTTGCTCAACACGTGTATGCTGTGGAAACATGCAGTGCATATCTACACCCACAATGTGTATTGTGCATGTTGGGAACGTGGGAGGGGTACGCCAAACTGGGTATCGAATATGCCGCCCGTGCTAGTCGGATGGGTGTCTTATAGACGGGCGGTCGATTACCAGTTGGCTTCCAAGAGACCCCAACAATCACAATGGAACGACCAAGGTTCAGAAGATCAAGACGAATGAGAAATGCCGAAGACCAACCACGGCGAACCGCTGTCCCACCGCGAGCACGGCCTACCCCAACTCACCCCAAAGAGACAAACGTAATACGATTACCTGAAGGAAGTGGTCTGGGGAGATTTACGCTGGATGTTGGAGGACCTCTTGATGCAGTGACGAGTGTCTGTTGGTCGAGAAGTGGAGAACAAATGTTCTCAGGTTCTCGAGATGGAACGATCCGGGTTTGGTCGTCAGGGACCGGAGCCCAAGTCGCTCTCCTCCAGGGACACACGAACACAGTTCACGCCATCGCAATATCTTTTGATGGTCGCTTCATTGCGAGCGCATCCTCTGATTGTACTGTTCGCCTATGGAGCGTGCGTACCTATGAAGCAGTCAGCCCGCCTTTCGAGCATGCCGACGAACTCTATTGCGTCACATTCTCCCCTGACCGTAAGCGAGTCGCATGTGGTGGGAAAGACACCAAGGTGTATCTCTGGGATATCGAGCCATACACTAAGCCAGACGCTAGTATAATGGATAGCTGTGAACCAGCTCCGGAATTGCCATTGGCTCCCTCAGATGAAGATGTAAGAATTGCTTGCACTGTGCGCTTAATTGTTAGAAGTAGCTGATGCGAGCAATTATTTCAGATTCTTAACGAGCTCTTGATACAGGAGGTAGGGAAGTGTATTACTTATGCTTTCAATACTCATGACTGGCAACAGGTCGCTGGCTTCCTTCCCCCGCTGGCGCTTCAGAATGGAGTACGTATATCGTACCATAGTGTGATATCTCTGATTTGACTGCCGCAGGTTCCACCTGATCTGAATGTTCCCTCAGCATTTACTGAGAATTGGCCCAGCAACGAGATCAACAATGCTCTCGAAGTGAGTGCCAACGTCTGGGCTGTAGTTTAAATTTCGCACGTTTAATTATCATCTTGACAGGATGCACCAAAGGACTCGAACCAGCCTAAGGAGTCTATTGAAGTCCTTCCTAGTCCGGTACCTTCCTCATCCTCATCCAAGCATCGCTTCTTGGATAGACTACCACTCTTTCGTCGTCGAAACGATGTCGATAATTGTAGTGCCACAAATTCGTAGGTGTATTTGTTACATCAAATGAACAATCATTCATCATTTTCAGGATCCTGGCGAAAGGATGATGATATCTGAATTTCTGACATATCCCATAGAGATTGTGACCCACAGACAGACCAAGTTTTGTTGACAGTAACAATATCGTTCGACTCCAAGCTCTGTATCGATGGTGATCTTGTATCAGTTCAACTGGTTACTTTACCTACCATTATTACTCCTCAAGGAATAATTGTCACGATATTCAGCCTATTTCCACTTCGTTTTGCGTATATTTCCATCAAGGAAGAACATCATGTTTTTTTCTCAAATTTGCGTCGCTGCCATGCCATGCTATACAGGAGTATTGCATAATACTCTTGACATTTTTCGCAGTTGCATTGAGTGTTGCCGAACGCAGTCGACTCGAGCTCCATGGAACATACATTCCTAAACCGTATCTTCGTTCTTATGTGGTGAATATTGAGGTAAGTCCCAAGGGTTTGGGTTAGCAGTGGCTTACACATTCTGAGGGTCCCAACCGGTGTTCCGGCGGGGATCAGATAATCAGCCTTCTTGCCTATCACATGGCTATAGGAAAGTAGGCTGATCGAATGTGCGCAACCTTATGGTTCAGAACTGCCGTTTATCATCGGGCAATCGGAACATGCATCTGGCATTGCTTTAGGTGTGTACAAGTAAACTTGCAATCATCGAGAATGTATTCACGGGGCCCGAATTCATAGCGCAGTTTAGGTGCTCTTCGGCATGATCGGGAGTGGGGTCTCTGCATACAGCGCCTTCATATCGCCAACCGCTCAATCAGCCTTGTCCGCAATCAGACGTACTTCCTGGACTGATTCAGGACTCCACGACAGATTAATAGCACCAAGGTTCTCCTCGAGATACTGTGCGAGTCAAAACCATGAATGCGCGAGGTTATACGCAATGATGTAGCGACTGACCCTGTCACTGCTGGGTCGATGGATAGATATTCAGGATACTGATAAACATACTGCATAGCCTTGTGCTTGACGTATGTTTTTCTGTTTATCACCGATTGATGTGATGCACTGGATTCAGAATTTCAGACCGCTCGCTTCCCGCGCAAGTTGCTCCCTAGCTCGGTTTCTGACAAAATACCTCAGGCTGTGCTCGTCAATATTTTCTCGGACGACATTGCTATTCGCGGCTTTCTTCACAAAACGCAGAATCTTGTACACACACATCTTCTAGATGCTGACTACAAGTCCCTTGCTCTTTCAGCCCTCATGTGAGTCTGAATGGCTTCTACTTTACAGATTCCGTTCCACTTGCAAAAAAGGGCTTTGAGCAGCTACGAACTAGTAAGTCCTAATCCAATCCCGCATATACAACTCCTTGGAGGCTAATATCCACATGGGAGTCAGGGGTTTCAGCTTTGTGCATGGAGGCCTGTCGGCTCTGACACTATATGGAAACGGGCATATAAAAATTTCACCCAATAGCGTCCATATATGTTAACATACTGCTAGCATGCGGTACGCTTCATTCATCTACCTACTTTATTATTCTGACTACCCTGTCCAGCTTTAATCCGGGTCTCAGATGCAGGCCTCACCTCGGTCCTCTTACAGATCGCACCCGCCACCGGTAGCATGTTATTTTCATCATTCGAAAAATCTTCTAACGTTTTAGAAGTCCTCTCCAAAGTTGCATCCATTGTGTATTAACTAAACGTAGGCAGGCAGAATTTCTCGGAAGATATATGCTTCTGCAGGGTCAAGCCTATCGCGTGACTCGTATGTGCTGCATTCTTTCGTTTGAGTCGCACGAACAGCTCCTCGGACGCCCTCTGAAGAAATCCTGGACGAGGGCGGGAGTGTATACTAGCACAGGCTCAAGCTTCAGCATCAACGTCAACAATGTCTGCAAACACTGGCTCGGGAATCATTGTACGACGCGTCCTCCCAGGACACCGATGAAAACTTCTCAAAAAACCAGTTCACGAACGCCGTTGCAGTAGAACGCCTCCGGAATCTATACTTGACGAGCTAAGTCTAGGCACCCACGAACTGCATCGCAAAGATATGAAGAAGTTATATTAGATCCCAAGTAAAGCTAGCGAAGTTGGGAAGGGTCTGAGTGAGCAGACAGAGCAAAGTAGTGGTACACAGCAAGTCGGTTAGGCGCCTACGACCATGACGAACACGTGCTTGCGGGTGTTGACGCCGAGTGTTCATGACTTGTGAGTGCTCCCAGTCCAGTGAACTGCGAGTCTACTCACACCATTATGATGGTGATGGATCGCTTTGGGCCCGGTCTGTTATAATGTTTGTCGCATTGACATGGTCGTGCGCACGTGCAACTTGAGGTTGAGGTGGTTGAGGTTACTAGATTATGATTAGACTACAAGTTTTCTCAGGCGTGATTGTAAAAGTTTTTGATTCTGTTTCGAATCTTTCGATATTACAAGTCGTACACGTCGTGTGTTTATAAGTGATTCAGATCTCAGACTTTAACGAAGAAACTTCTCCCAGTGGCTTTTCGCAAGGGATTCGAATGCAACATAATACTGCAAGGCGATGCCCCTGTATTCCGGTGCCTCCATGCCTCCATTGTGATCACTGGCGACCTCGCATTTCAACACCTCAGTCCTAGCTGACGGATATTGACAGGAATTGACTGCATCGCTCAACGCTTTGGTGACGGGCACCAAGTAGAAGGTGGGGCGCGTCCCAATCATGGTGATGCAAGGCATAGTCATGACATCGAGTGGGTGCAGGCCCCTCTCTTGCCGCTTGTTGTTGTTGAGCTGGTAGGCCGCAATGGCTCCTGGAATCATACGTGCTTCGACATTTGAGCTACCTATCTGCGTCTTGTCCATTTGTAGAAGAAGTAGCATGTCTGATTCCGTATCCCGCAAGCATACGCTTATCTGCGCAACTTTGCGGTTATAATCACAGATCAACAATGGGATCGAGCGTCGTCTTGACACGCAATACGGACCCCTTGTGAAGCCAACTGTAATGAGAAGCTGACAAGCGAAGTCGTTGATGCTCGACACACGAACATTCTGAACCCAAAAATCTGGTGTGGTGGCATCATGAAGATACCGGAGAAAAAGAGACGTGTTGCGCGAGACATCAGGGTCAGGGCGCACGTCCGAGTCGGCGGTGGCAAGCGCGGGATCAAGGCCTGCCGCGGTTAGAGGTACATCTATCTCCTGGGGAAAGAATTGCTGTGATAGTACAGCAGTGACGGTTATGTTGTAAGCGATTAGCTCATTGACATCCCAGTTGCTGCTGGACTTTGCAGAACGAATAATATTCACCTGTTCATGGCAGGGTGATACTTAACCATGTCTAACTATACACAGTACATTTTGTAAGTTTGTCTCGGAGTCACCAACATGAAGCTTCATGAAGCTTAACAGGCACGATGCCTCACTGGTTCTAAAGATCGGGATCTCTCTTGTGATCTCGATGCTACTGGAAATGTTTTTCTCAGGCTTCCAAGAATAGCGCTACCACCGGAAAAATTACCAAATTGGGATATTCCAATAATCTCACTATTCCCACATACCTCCCTGGCTCTACTGCTGCACCAGAGCTTTCCCCTTGCTCACTCATGTATATAAGTAGTAGAATGGCATGTACATACATAAAATGATACAATAGACCGCTTTTTTCATTGTCTGAGAGCTTGTACAGCAGTCTACAGTACTGACTACAATATGTGCATCCCAGGACTAAAACATATTCGCTTTTTTGCCCCTTTAGCAGGGAAGCAATTCTGACTGTATATATCATATATTAGAGTGTTAATGAATATATTACACCGCTTGTTTGAGCCTCTGTAGTGTCCTACATCAGTAGATATGTTAAATTCATGAATACCTCTCAAAAAACATAAACCAGTTCGCATTTTTTAGTGTTTAGGTATATAGACTGGTGAATATTATTTCTAACATCTCTTTACTAGTATATACATCATATCAAGAGTATATGTCAGCAGGATCAGTCCCTAGGGTCATATGTATTGTCATCTTCCTGGTGGTTCACTCCCTGAGAAAATTTTTCCTGCAGCTCCGGCCCTCTAGGATGGTAGGTAGTCTTTTACTATGAACATATGGAATATATTTATCACATAGGTATACCAGAACAATACCAGGATCCTTGTCTACAATCCAAAGTCACTTTTTGCCTACAATGTACCATATTTTCGCATTTTTGAGGTTTTTCACTACATTCTCACTACATAGACTATACCAGCTGTTCATATATCACTTATAGTACATATATGAAGCCTTCCCAAGGCCATGATCAGGCAGAAATATGACATAGTAATGATATCAATGATATAGGGGCAAATCCCACAATCATGCAAATGTTATATTTCAACCCTGTCTAGGGCGAAGATTTCATTAAAAATGTATAGAATACATTGTAAACTACTTAAATATACTATACTAATATATGTTGTGAAGGTAAAGGTGATGTGGAAGTGTTGTGGTCTCAATTTGTTGCATTATTATGGTCAGACCACCCTTGCATAGACTGTTGGTGCATAGTACTTTTTCGATGTTTGGACTTTTTGACTTTCCCACGACCTATTTCTTATCTATTGGATTCCCCTGCTGTCAATTATTCATGGATCCTTCTGGTAGTCGAGGACTGTATTACTTGGTATATATAGTGTACTCCAAGATAGTCTGATCATAATATTTTACTATATTCATGTCTGGGAATTCTTATCAGTGAGAATAGGAGATATGTGCTTGATATCATTACTCTGACATATTTCTGCCTGATCATGGCCTTGGGAAGGCTTCATATATGTACTATAAGTGATATATGAACAGCTGGTATAGTCTATGTAGTGAGAATGTAGTGAAAAACCTCAAAAATGCGAAAATATGGTACATTGTAGGCAAAAAGTGACTTTGGATTGTAGACAAGGATCCTGGTATTGTTCTGGTATACCTATGTGATAAATATATTCCATATGTTCATAGTAAAAGACTACCTACCATCCTAGAGGGCCGGAGCTGCAGGAAAAATTTTCTCAGGGAGTGAACCACCAGGAAGATGACAATACATATGACCCTAGGGACTGATCCTGCTGACATATACTCTTGATATGATGTATATACTAGTAAAGAGATGTTAGAAATAATATTCACCAGTCTATATACCTAAACACTAAAAAATGCGAACTGGTTTATGTTTTTTGAGAGGTATTCATGAATTTAACATATCTACTGATGTAGGACACTACAGAGGCTCAAACAAGCGGTGTAATATATTCATTAACACTCTAATATATGATATATACAGTCAGAATTGCTTCCCTGCTAAAGGGGCAAAAAAGCGAATATGTTTTAGTCCTGGGATGCACATATTGTAGTCAGTACTGTAGACTGCTGTACAAGCTCTCAGACAATGAAAAAAGCGGTCTATTGTATCATTTTATGTATGTACATGCCATTCTACTACTTATATACATGAGTGAGCAAGGGGAAAGCTCTGGTGCAGCAGTAGAGCCAGGGAGGTATGTGGGAATAGTGAGATTATTGGAATATCCCAATTTGGTAATTTTTCCGGTGGTAGCGCTATTCTTGGAAGCCTGAGAATCACCAAAGGAATCAGAAGCCGTTAAGCTTAATTGTAGGGGATTGATAGTTTACAAACAAACTTACAAAACCATACTGTTTCTAGTCAGTGAGTATTATGCTTAATTTTAACAGTATAGCCTGTAATATTGGCCATGTTCTCTTTCTCTTTATAGGGGTCAAACTTGAGTGTCAGAGAAATAAGAATGACCAATCAATGAAAATTCCTTCACCTAGGGTTGAGTTACGTCGCAGCGGCTGCGTGTTGTGTGCAGGAGGTGTGCAATGTGATAAATGCGCGGAAGCACAAGCTTAAGCAGCAGAACAGACAATCTCGCGGCAGCTGAGTCATCATAGAATGTTACGCGTGCTTTGTTTATCACTACCTTTTGGCGTAACGGTTAAGGGACGACAGTCTTGACTACTTACACACAGCATCAGAATAACTTACAACTCGACCAAGCGCAAGGCCCCGACGCGCGTCAAGACTTATTGGCTGCCAAACACTTAACTGTTTTAGTTTTCACATCTTAGAGACATCCTCGAGCTATGGCAGAATGACCGGCAGCAGATATTGCAGTTCCCTCGCAGGATCCAAAGAAGAGGACAAGAAGCTAGATACCAAAGTGAATTTTGAAAAGGACGGCGACCCGAACTAGTGAGTGTTAATCACATTAGCGAAATCAACATTAGCTTAACTTATGTTTCCTAGTCGGAAAAATATGCACAGCTCAAATTCGAGCTGGAGATGCTCATGGAACGGTTCAAGGTGCGTGCCACTCACGATCGAGGTAGAACAAGTAATTGAATTGGTAGCAGGAATCAAACACGGATCTCTACCGTCCTGCTCTTGAAACGCTCCGGACACTGATGAGAAAATGCACATCGTCCATGACTTCCATTCCAAAGCCACTCAAGTTTCTACACCCACATTATCCCGACCTGCAGGAGCTGTTCCACACATGGCCCGCATTCGAAAACAAGGTGCGATGGAAAGCCTGTTTGTGTAACACGGAGGAACTCTCCGCTATCGCCTCCTTTCTTTCTGCATCTTAGCGGCAATCATGGGGCTCGGTGTAGCATACGCAGGCTTGCACCGCGAGGACTCGCTCACTCTCCTCTCTGCGGTCGTAGACGATAGCGTGTCGATGGAGATCGCTGCACTCAGCGCGCTCGCACTGGGATTCGTGTCAGATGGGCAAGGGCACGATTGGGGTCAATCCTTTCTTCTCGGACAGGAACATCATGAGTCGACCGGCTGTTGCGGGTTTACTGGCGACGATCATGGCGTTTACGGATGCTAAAGCCTGTGAGTACTCTCGCTCTGATTCATGCAAGCGGATCCTGATGAGCGCATATAGTCGTGCTCGACAAGTACCATTGGATGCTTTACCTTGGTGATTGCCATGTACCCTTGCTTCCTCATCACGCTCGATGAGAACCCCGAGAGCAAGCCTGTGACAGTTCGCGTCGGTCAGGTGAATACACAGTTTTCCCTTGCCTGTGGGGAATCCTTATTCGTTACATAGGCTGTAGACGTCGTCGGCCAAGCTGACAAACCACGCATGATATTAGGCTTCTAGACGCCTGCACGACCGGGGACGACAGAGCACGCAGAGTTGGCAACGGAAGAATTCATCACGTATGCACATGTTCTAGAGGTGCTTGTTATAATACAGAAGAACCACGTCATGCTATCTGGACGTGCATCTTCTGTCAATACTGTTCAAGGAATGCTCTTCGTCACGCTGTGAAAGAAGCTGACAGACTCCATTGAACGCACCGGAACACACTACCTTTCAATATTAACCATCCTAACTTCTCGGTAGAAATGGGGGTTGGTCAGAAACGCCCGCGCGCGCGTCATTGCGCTCATCGTCGCTTCCTCAAAGTCCAACTCTTCAACACATTCGAAAGTACTGCATCCCCCGCATTCCATCCAAACCGTTCGTCGTGGACAGTGAAACGAGCACAGTTTCCTCTGCGACCCGCATATGCAATCACACGTCGAGGTTTGACGCTGGCGTGAATCATGTTCTCGACCTTCGGACTGATTTCTTTAATCAGTCAATTGTACACAACATTTTCGAGAGTGGGAACACGAAGAGACACTATAGAATATGCCAAGAATGTATGAGTTGCTACTGTAAACATCGTCCAAGAGCCAACCGAAGGGTTGTCCTTGTATATAGGAAAGTCACGGTAGGACGTTTGAATGCGCACAAAGTTATGGTTCAGCGCTGCCGTTCATCATCGGTCGACAGAAACATGTATCTGACATTACCTCATGTACGGTACAAGTACAATTGTAATCATTGAGAATGAGTCCACGGGGCTCGAATTCAAGCTTCAGGTGCAGTTCAGGTGCTCTTCGGAAGTGGGGTCTCTGCATACAGCGCCTTCATGGCCGCCGGAGGATAGCGATCCCCAACCACCCAATCAGCCTTCTCCGCAATGACACGTACTTCCTGAACTGATTCAGGACTCAACGACACATTGATAGAACCGAGATTCTCCTCGAGATACTGTGCAAGTCAAAACCATGAATACCCGAGGCTATATGGCTACTGACCTTGACCTTCTTTGTACCCGGAATGGGGATGACATCTTCACCTTGGGCAAGAAGCCACGCCAACGCGACCTGTCCAGCAGTAGCATTATACTGCTCGCCTACTTTCTTGAGGTCGTCTGCCAGTTTTAAGATGTTCGGGAAGTTTTCCTTTGAGTATCTAACCAAGTACAGTTCGCGTGAGCCCCTACCAGGCACTGACATGATACATACCTGGGAATCATCCTCCTGAAGTCATTAGGTTCGAAGTCATCTGGAGATTTCTTTTCATCCGGTGAGTGTCCAAATCAGTTTTACTGGTCTGCCAATACTTACATACTGTCCCGTGATCAAACCACGCCCAAGTGGCGAGTAGGCAATGATTTTGATTCCAAGTTCGCGAGCCGTATTTAAGATGTTGAGCTTTGAGTCCTCGATGTCGAGTGTGAAAGGCGAATATTCCACTTGGACGGCAGCGATAGGGTGCACTTTCTGGGCACGGCGCAACGTATCCGCAGTGCATTCTGACAGCCCGAGATATTTCACTTTCCCCTGTCTTTCCGGCAATGAGCATGAACAAGGATTTAGAAACTGTTCGCTTACTTAACAAGTTCTGCCATGGCACCGACAGTTTCCTAACTGATTTCAGAAAAATTCAGAGTCCACATACAGAGACGTACTTCGATTGGTGTTTGGTGATCAGGTCTGCATGATGACGATAATGAAGTTTGAGTGACCTGTTGACACGCTAGGCGCACCTGTGCAAGTAGTAAAGATCGATCTTGTCAACACCAAGCAACCTTTGTGATTTCGCAAATGACTCGTGGACATATTTTGGAGACCCATCAACGCCTCTACCGTCAGATCCACTGATGATGATACCGAATTTGGTAGCAATAAAGATTTTGCTGCGCTTTTCGGGGTTCAGCTTGAACCTGCGCTCCTGGATTGTGAGGGCCTATTACTGCGACAGTACAGTATAACGTACCATTTGCCAATGAGCTCTTCGCTGTCTCCATAGATATCGGCAGTGTCCCAGAAAGTACAACCGAGCTCATACGCTTTATCCAGAACCTAAAAGGGACAATCATGAATTAATGTAGTGTACAGGGGGTAGGGTGCTCACGCCTCACCTTTAAGCGCTCCTCATCTGAACCAGTCTGACCGTAATACGCTCCCATGCCCATGGCGCCAAAGCCGATGGCAGAGACATCGTCGGTGCCAATTTTGCGTGTAGGATATTGGGTCATGATGTTAGATATAACTGAGTTGGCGATAGTGGAACTCAGGAGAAAGAAATGGCTTTATATACCTCAGTCTCAAGTTGGCTTACTGATTCAACGAGTGACTAAGAGAGACACGAGCTGTGATGACGCAATCGATATCCGCGGCCGGACGGCGGCATCACCAGTGACTAGTAGTACCACAAAACAAACCCAGATGTTTGCCACCAGACCATGTACGTCAGTGTCTGTCCCTCGTTCAAGTTGGTGTCGTGTCCATGCCAAGCCTTGGGCCTTATGTAAGTTCAAGGCCTCACTGCTTGTGTTAGAATTGGACGATACATAGAGATGCGAGATGCATCGATGATGGATTTGAGATAACGCGTAGCGAGTAACGGTAAACAGGAGTTTACCGAGTCCGAGAAGACTTGTCAGCTGCAGCGTTACATAACTTGCATTTGTCAGAGCTACTGGCATGGGCCTACGTCACCGGCACCGGCATGCCTTCAATACCAAGAATTTGGAATACTGTTGCTGTCTTTCTTATCACTAATTGATGGACTCAGAGTATTCCTCGCTTCTTGACTCGGCTTTCTACAAATCCCTGCCAAGCTCGCTAATATTTTCTCAGACGACACCGCTATGCACGGCTTGCAGAACACCGTACACACTCCTCTTCCCCGTGCCCCACAAGTACCTCGCTCTTTCGCCCTCAGGTCTGAATGGCTTCTACTTTACCAATTCCATTATACATGCAAAGAAGGGCCTCGAGCAGCTTTGAAATAGCAAGTCCTACTCCAATCACACATATACAACTTCTTGGAGGCCTATATTCACATCGCATTTATCAAGAGTCAGAGGATTGAACTTTGTGCATGGAGGATGCCTGTCGGCTCTGACACTATGGAAATGGGCATAGAAAACGTTCGCCCAATAGCGTCCATATATGGGTCCCATCCTCTCCCTCATCAATCCTGAGAAGCTCTTTTCGTCAATGTAGATCATACTTGGTCTTAGATGAGATGAAAACTATAGACTGTGATACAAACTCGACTACGATGCATGTATATACTGAAATACCAATATTATTTCAGTCGCGATACTGATCCCCTCCCAGTCGTATCGCTCCATCCCTTCCTCTGGTCCCAGGACGCTAGCACAACACGCAAATACTGTGATAATCAGGGACTAACAACTCCTCGACTGCTGACCAACTTCTCAAGCATATCGCTGGCAGCAGTCCTCAACTCTTTCACAGCAACGGCGACACTCTCACCCTCTCCCTGCTGTGAATCTCGCCCCTCTAGTGCGTTAAGAACACTATCCACATTTCCGATGAGGAGCTTGAGATCGAGTTCCCGAGCAATGTGCATATACCTCTTCGTGCCTTCCGCAAGGACAGGAAGGAACTCGAAACAGTGTATGTCGTCAATTACATAGTGGGCACAGCCCCATGCACTTTGCACCATGTTCCACCACTGCCACTCTGTAATAGAATTGAGGGATGTAACCGACGATTGTTCAGGTGCGATCCGGAGGAGAATGCCAGTTAGGTAAAATGCATGTTTCCCGACGCGGTGCTCTGCAACCATGCTAATGCATCGATCTATATGTTGATCCGCAAACAAATGGAGGTGCCAGTTGGAATTCCTCGCGAGGGAAAAGAGCAGTTCGAGATAGCACAAGTCGCTCTGATCACGGACGAAGCGGTCAGGGCTATCATGGGAGAGTGTCACACCTGGTTGCGGACAAACTGCAGTCAGGATAGCGGGGGAGAACTCAGTCAAGATCATGTCCCGCAGCTCCGCATTATCAATGGCATCGATCAAGACTATATCTTCTCGGGCACTGTGGGCAAGGCGAAGAGCAGCATGACGTAAATGGACAGTGTTACTATGCATGCAGGCGATGAGGCTGTTGAGGAACTGGTGTCGTTTAGCAGGGCTGCAGCGTACTTTCCTGGAAAACAGGAGTAAAAGGATGTCAAATAAAGCTTCGTCATCGTCGAAACGAATGCACTCGTCGAGGTAGTCGATCAGCCAGTCAAAGTCTTCGGGTGAATGGGAATCACCTGTCCCTAAACACTGGCAATGCCACAAGTTGACAGGGTCCCGAGATACTTTGGCAGCAGTGAGCGTGAAGCGCAGTGCATTCTGCAGTGTATTTTGCGGGTCATCCATGAGCTCCCAGGGATTATGTTGTTCGGCCCAGTATGATTTGATTCGTGAGTAAATCTTCCTGCACGCGTCCAGGTTCCGCATGGCGTGCAATGAAGGATTATAGTAATTTTTGGCAGACTTGAGCACAAGACAAATGGCTTCGATGAGGTTGGCTTCCCGATATGCTATACCTGTGCTGTCGTCGCTGAGATCATCATAACGTGTCCAGAGAGTAATTTCGAACTGCTCCAAAAGGGTATTCGCAAATCGAGGCAGGGCAGAACTACACAATCTCTTCGTTAGCCATAGCAGAAGCACCAAATAGTCGATGGCACCTTTTATCAATCCGAACTATGTCCTTCTTGTCAAACTGAACCCCGACCATGACACAAGCAAGAAGAGCGCAATTGGCCATGATTTGGTTCGATGGAGAGGATGTAGATGATAGCAGTTTTGATATCACCTCTATGGCGAATATTTCCACTTTTTCATTCGCTCGCCCAGTGACAAAGTGGTAAGGAAGGGAATGTGACAGCCACTCCGCTACGGAGCCGGGACAATCATACAACGAAAACCACAGAAATCTGCGATCTTCATCTTGCAGAAAACAAAGATTCCTAGTCACAATAAGCACCCTCTGGTCGACATCTTTTATGTTCCTCTGAATCATCTGGTCAAACGTGTCATAATCTCTTTCCCTGCAACCAAGAAATTTGCCACTGGTGGGGTGTGCCTTGAGAACGTGGCCACAATATAAATGACTCATAGCCATTAAACAAGCTGAGGCCTTTTCCTCCAACGACGGCATAATTTGCCCGTGGAAGCCAACGCAGCTCGTATAAATATCATACAGCTGATGCAGCATGTCTGAGACGTCAAGATCTAGGGGCCATTCGACCTGCGGAACAAGGCTGGCAGCGGCAAGAAATACTTCAGGATCCGTAGAGGTCTCGAGCAGCCACTTGACGCTAGGTGCTTCCAGATTGCTGGTAGGTATGTCAGGGAGGGTGAGGACGTGGTCATTGTCCGACGAAACATTTAGATTCGGTCCAAGCAATTGTGCTTCCGAGTCCACGACCTTTGTGGAAAAGCGCAGGACAAAACGCAGCCGGTTATGAAGACTAGTGATTGACTGCTGAAGAGATCGCTGTGCGAATGCGCCGATCGCACGTACAGGGCCTGAGGAGTGAAATGAGCACCGAGTATCTTTGTGATAGTAGATAAGACCGTCACCTCTAGATACTGCAGACAATCGGTTCCATCCTGGTCTGACAACGTCAAGCGATCGTTCCAGCACGCCTGACATGGAACAGTCAAAACCGGTGCACATGGAAGAAAATATAACTCACCGTGCAGCGACTTCGTAAGCTGCTGGAAATAACTGGAGGTTCGTTTGAATACCAGGCGTAGAACCCCTGCCATGTTGATTCAGACGGGGAATAACCACCAGAACTCAGGAAAATGATCTTACTGTCGATGCGCAACATGCGCAACATCGTCGATGTTGGTGTCTGGAATGGACAAGCAGGAGATATCAAACATGCCATCACCGTCAGGGAATAGAACAGAAATCCAAAGACTGTCGTTGCGATGATGACCCAGGCGATGCTCCGCTGGTCGTACCACATATTGGCTCCAAGAGCGATTCCAAAAAGAAGAAGGGAGATCTGAAGTATGACAGGGAAACATTGCACGACAGCATCGAAATACCATGTGACGATGCCGTCGAACTTCTCTTGCCTGCGCTTGCCTCGTTCCTCCTCCGAGCCGCGGCCATATCTGTTCGACTTGTAGTACCCGAGCCACTGCTTGCCTAATACGGCCCCGAATGCAGCGAGCAAGCTCATGGACAAGCTTGCGTATGCGACCATTTGGATCCTCACAGCCAACGCGGATGGCGACCACGTAGATCGTGGGTCTACGGGAGCGGTGCCCGCCTCAGCGAGGTTGCCGAGTCCGATCTGCACGATTTGCTTCAAAAGGGCATTCGTCGTGTCGCTGGGGTCGGGATTGAGATTGGACTCCATTGCAACGATGAAACCCGTGCTGACAGCCGAGAAAAGACCAGACTGATCAAACATCAGTCTCAGCTCTCAATGCGCCGAAGATAAGAACGCTAAACTTACGAAGATCAAGACGATGTCCATGTCAGTAGTGTATCGCTCAAGGAACTCGCCGTCGTGTTCCTCTGCGACTCGTTTGTACACCCCCCAGAAACGAGACCGTTTGTCCTTTCCGATCTTCGACGCAATCGTGGAGTCCTGGAGAATGTCCAATACTTGCTTCATCACATTTGCTCTGAGTGTACAGTGTCGTCAGTTGCGATCGCTTGTCTTGTTTTTCGCTTACAATTCGCTTAAAGTTGGCTGGTCCTTCTCCGCCACTACCTTTCCCCCCTTGCTGAGACAATTCAGGAGCATGTTTGACATTATTATCGACAATGACTCACGGAGCTAAATCGCCGACTGGTGGAACATTGGGTGTGCTTCCTTGTTCGTGAGGTCCTGACGGCTGTGAAGGCCCAGCATTCGAGCTGCAGTTCTGAGCGGCGCAGACGCCCATCGAGGAAAAGAGACCCTTACATCTCTGGTGGCAGCTCCGCCAAAGGAAAATTTATCTTCTCCCTGTCTTGCTGTTAGATGGGTGACAGATTCCAGGAAGCTGCAACTTACTCTTCGATGGGTCCTACGGCGCCAATTTGCGGGGCAGGCTGCTCAGCGTTGTAACTGAGCTGATCCTCGGCGTCGTCGGTGCCTGATGCTTGTGACATGAATAGGTTATACTTATATTAGATCCCAAGTAAAGCTAGCGAAATTGGGAAGGGTTTGAGGTGCGCAGACAGAGCAGAGTGGTGGTACACAGCAAGTCAGGCTACGAACATGATGGAACACGTGCTTGCGAGCGTTGACGCCGAGAGTACTTGTGAGCGCTCCCAGTCAAGTGAACTGCGACTAGTCTCCCTTACTTACCAACATGATGGTGATGCAACCAGCTAAGTTGGACTCGGTCTTTATGCGATATAGTAATGTTTGTGCGTTGTCACGGTGCACACGTGCAACTTACAGATCATGATGTAGATTAGATAGACTTTGCAAATTTTATCATGCTCAAATTTGACACCATCGTTACTGACAAGCAGTTTTTGGCTCTGTTTCGATATATAAATAATGTTACAAGTCGTATACGTTGTATACTTAATTAAGTTTTAAGGAATAAACTTCTCCCAGTGGCTTTTCGCAAGGGATCTGAATGCAACATAATACTGCAAGGCGACGAGCCTGTATTCCGGTGCCTCCATGCCACCTTTGCAGTCACTAGCGACCTCGCATTTCAATACCTCAGTCCTAGCTGACGGATATTGACAGGAAATGACTGCATCGCTCAACGCTTTGGTGACGGGCACCAAGTAGAAGGTGGGGCGCGTCCCAACCATCGTGCACCTCAGGCAGCACTTTTCGGTGCTTATAAAGGGTCTAAGAGACCCGGTTTCTATGTTATGGGAAACTGGTCTCTGAGACCCACCCTCCCGCCATCTAATTATAGCTCGTGCTCTTTCATTCCCTCGCGGGCCTCCAGCACCTCTTTACAAGCCTCCATTAACCATCCCAATAGACCTCTAGGACCACTCAGTATTACTTCTACCCTCTCAAAGTCACTCCCTACTATAGACCGAATCTTAACTTTATTCTCATCTGCTCTACAGTTTTCGGCAAATACCCACTTTGTAGATCGTTCAAAATGCCACGCGTGATTTCAGTAAAGGTCATCGTCGACACGTGGGAAGAAATTCCCAAAAAACTGAAAAAAGTGCCCGCAGCTGCGGGCACTTTTTTCGCATCTGAGGAAATTTGTTTCCACGGTCCAAAGATACGTCATACTTTCTTTCTTCGAATTTGACTCACCCTAGCAAATGTCTTGGACGGCCTAGAAACAATGCGTACTTGCCCTCCTTGCACCTCAGGCCTCATTGCCCTAGTGCTGCCGCAGTCCGGTCCAGGACCTAGGTTCGAACCCGAACCTTTGTGGACCGGACCCATGGTTCGGTCACAGGTCCAGAATTTCTCTTGGACCGAACCCCTTGGTAGGTTCGAGGTTCGGTGTGTTGTCGATAAATCCGGACCGGTTCGAACCTATCATGTCGCTGGCTTTGACTTACGATTTTCGAAGTCGAAGCCTCATGTTTTTGGCGAGGCTTTCTATTTAAGTATCATCCTTGCCCTTCTGTTCACCGTCTTCTCCTACTTCTCCTGCAAGGCAATCTCTCGGCTACTTCAGTAATGCAACTCATTCAGGCGCCAGTGAGTTCGCAACAAGTCTACTGTCTGTCACAATTAACTTATGATGTGATTTATTTCAGAACATACCTACAGTTGTGATTCACCATACTGATTATCTGCCATGGGTTCTCATTTTGGTGTTTCATGGTGCGCAACAGTTTTAAATCTAGTTTTAAATAAATTCACTTGGTACCTAGGTTTGAAATTTATGCCCCCTGCTGCTATGTCCTCTGCACGTCGTGCTGACGGTTCGTTGAAAGACGCCAGTGAGATAGCGTGGTACAATGATGCCGAAGACGACTCTCCAATGGTTCCTCCCCCTGCTCCTGCACACAACGGCACTCTCAATTCGTTTGTACGTCGTTCTGGTCGAGCGGTCAAACCCACAGAGAAGATCCGCGAGACTCCGTCATTGTGAACGAGGAGTAGCTGTACGTAGTGTACAAATTTGTCGTTGTTGTCTTGTAAAATTTTGATTTTTTTGCAAATTGAAATAAAGGGTTTGAGGGTTCGAACACGTTCTGAACTTGAACCGAACCCTTCCGAACGCGTTCACAGGGGTCCGGTCCATGGTTCAGCCTCCTTGCTCGAACCTGACCAATGGTCAGGTTCGGGGTTCGCAAATATAGGGCCATGAACTGGACCGAACCGGACTTCAGCAGCACTACATTGCCCTCTTCCTCACATTGTTACCCTCCTCTCGGCACCTTGTTACCCTCCTGCGCACCTCATTGACCTCCTCTTGGCACCTTGTTACCCTCCTGCGCACCTCATTGACCTCCTCTCGGCACCTTGTTACCCTCCTGTGCACCTCATTACCCTCCTCTCGGCACCTTGTTACCCTCCTCCTGTGCACTTGTTGCCCTCCTTTTTCAATTTTTTTTGGGAATTTCTTCCCATGTGTCACATGGCTTTGCGACAAGCTGTCTGGCATCTGTAATATGTATGGTCTTTGTGCACGTAAGTTGATGGGCATTCTTCTCGCCATGACTCCAACTAAATCCCTCAACACTCGTAAAGCTCAACTTGTTTCCTCTGGCCTTGGGCAACACTTCGTAAGCCCAAGGAAAGCCAGGGATAGGAGGAAAACTCAAACACTCGTTGAGTTGCCTGGCGCACAACTCAAGCGTCGTCGGCTACTTGCTCAAATGCAACGACTCTTGGATCATGCACCCTCCCAAACAGGGTCTTCTCCTTGTACCGTGTTAGGAGGTCATGCTGATGAAGTCAACAAGATGAACATTCTGGACGACTTGGATTTCACAGGCGCTGAAGTTGAAATGTCAGGGGAGTCATTTTCTGACAGGCCTGCAACCTTGGGGAGCAATTCACACAAGCGACGTGTTCTCCCCGATAACCCGACAAATATATTATACAATAACTGGCGAAAGCTCATACCTACACTCGTGGACCCGCATTTGAAGTATTATGCCCGAACTATTGGTCAAGGCTTGGACAAGCCCCACAAAGTGATCTCAGCATGTGCAACTCTCTCCTGTGCACAGAAAAAGACTGATTTATTGTGTCTATTCTTTGACAGTAAGTACTCATGCTTTCAGCCCACCTGATGATCTAACGAACGTCAAACACATCAACAGGATTTGAATCGATCGAAGTACTGAGCTGTGAATGCTCCAGCCTTCCGCAGGTCCTCCTTCATCATGGGCTGTTCCCTACCGCACCTTTACAACCTCGTATGGCAGTATCTGTTGATCTACTCTCCTTTTATCGCGCACTTTTCGAGCGCTCTTGTGATGCAATCAATGCTCTCGCATCGGCTCTCAAAACGCACTATTCATGCAGAGGTTTTCAAGTTACTGACTCGGAGGTAAGACATATTCATATGAGATATCACATCACTGAACTAGCCCCAAGGGTAAAATCGTGCAGGACCCATTTCGTCGTGGTCTAGGCCATGCTGTACAGTGGTATGATATCCTACAAGTCGAAATCGAACAGCAAGTGGACACAGTCCTCCAACACAGCCGAGACTGTGTGGCTATTCACCGACCACCCCAACCACCTACTGTAACCAGGAATGAAAGTTCAGCATCAACTATTTTGCACTTTGCCCGATGTGCACCACTTCTCGCTCAGCGCTGCCCAGCATGCTTTGGTGGGACACTGTATGGGAGGCCCATTGATCAAGGCGCGGACATACATGTTGCTACAGATGGGAATTTTCATCATCGCCACCGACGTTCTGCGGGTGATTGTCCTCACTTCTATGAACCGACTTACTTCCTTTCAAAACAGTTTGTTGATGCAGTTGGACGCCGAATTGATGGACAACGTAAGCGACCTCCGAAGCAACACACATCCCTCGTACCTGATGAAGCTATCGACCAATGCGAGAATGCATATGAAGCAGCTGATGGGAAGAAACAAAAAACTGCAATGGACAGCTTCGACGACACGGGAATCATGGCCCTCATCTGCCGTCATGATATTCCCTTATTTTTTGCTAACATTGATTCTCCGGGCGAACAGCAGAAATATTCGGTAGCGCTGATAGAACATCTGTTCACATTACTCCCTTCTCAAGCCACGGTTGTTACCCTCTATGATGTAGGTTGTGTTCTCGCTCGGTCCCTCTCAAAGGTATGTACACAATTGTAATCAGATTTATTACTAATTAGTTTTAGTTCGAGATTCTCCCCCCTGATGTTGTATCACGTCTGCGCTTTGCGACTACGGCTATGCATGCCTATGGTCATGAATGGGCCTGTCAGCTGGTGCACAATCCACGGATGTGTATAGGCCTTGGCTTATCTGACGGCGAGGGGACTGAGCGGCTGTGGTCACGGTTTGTTCGGTTGATTGGTGTAGAAAGGTCATCATCAGTACGTTACATTATATTACATTTAACAACATACTAACTACCTTGAGTCATTTAGCGCCAACGCCGTCTGTGGTTAATTGACCGCCAAGCAACTGCGATAGGATCAGAAATGAAAGCAGACCTCGGAGACTGGATCAAACACCGTCTCAAGCGGGGCATCAATGCCCAGAGCTCTGCTGCCCTCGACATTATCAATCACTGTGAAACGTCTGTGGAGGACCTACAGGCTCAGTGGGCTCACCAACGACAATCTCAGCTCTCGATTCGCGCTCGTGAGTTAGCCCATAGTATACACACAATGAGTACTTATGTTGGATGTTTCTAGATGCTCCTGCTTGTCTCAAGAAGGAGCTGGATACTGTTCTCGCTCTACAAGCTGACTTGGATGTGTCAGATCGAGCCCTGCAGACTACTAGGACTATGCTGGAGAAGGAGGCATCATCCGATGACACCTTCAATGTCCTTGCGAGCCTACAAAGGGGCCACGATCGTCTAATGACTAAAGTCGAAGCATTATACTCTTCTCTTAATGTTCAGGATAGATTCCCCGAGCTTGACGGAGTCAATCTCAACTTCGTCCAGGTCCTTCTTATGGCACGTGATCTTAAGATAAATATTCGAAAGCGTGCTATTGCCAGCTTTTTTGAATGGGATAAGCTTGATCGTGCTGTAGGTGGATCCCACCAAGCATTAGGTAACCCTTCATGTATGACCGTTCCTCCATTCTAACCTTATTGTTCAGGGACAAAGCTTCACCAACACACTCGCAAAGCTATAGCGAAACGCCAACCTGCTCTCATGACAGCAATTAGAAAATTCAATTCTTACTGTGAGCGCTTAGAGTCGCTTTACAATCCTGCTTGGAATGTCCCGCTTCCTACTCCCCTCCCGACAAAATTAGCTGAACTACGTGCTGACCAGACATTAATGCAAGATGTCTGGGTTACACCCGCTGTCCTGCATGATACGGGAATCATGCATGGACATAACTACTACTAGGAATAACCCTCAAAAGATTATGTCTGTTAGCACAGTCCTCAGACTAGTCACCCCATACCTTGGTATCAAACCTCGGTCCTATATTTCAAGTTTTATATGGAAGAAGAAGAAAAAGTCATATGTGAAGTAAAATGAAGGTCAAGGTATTGCCTTACCTTTGGCTTATTCACTTTGGCCAGAGAAAACCATTGAGAAAAGCTCAAAGCCTAACAAAAACCTATCTAAAAAGCCCGTGTCTTGCATATTGTATTTGTATCATTGTTTCTATCTTGTTTTCTCTAGCATTGTTCTTTTATTTTCTTTTATTTAGGATGCTATGACCTACCAGATACTCCAGAAAATATTATTTCTGAGTATGATGTCATAATGATGTCATATAGCTCCACAGAAAGTTCTAGACTATTCTGTTGGAAATTATGATGTAATGTATGAAGTCATAATGATGTCATAGGCTCTAGAATATTCTAGCTCCACTATGATGTCATCTCTGATGTCATTGCTCTATCTTTTATTTGTATTTTATACTTTTATTGGGTTTCACCCAATATTCTGATTGGTTCTCTCTTTATTTTATTGTTTGCGAACCTACATTACTTTCCCACACAAAATGTATATAAGGAGAGCCCATTCTCCCCCCAAAAAAATAGAGATCCCTCTTCTAGGAAATTTTCTTCTCAGAGAAACCCCCTCAGTTGAACAAGACATCTCACTTGTTAAGATCTCCCACTTGTAGCAGAACAAGTGCAGGGAAACGTATCCCTTGAGAATACAAGTTTCTTACGATAAGAAGCTTACGTTACTGTTTATTTGACCAACCAGTCTTTGGTCCACGTGATTTTAGAGACCGTTGTCTCTCCTGTTTTACTGTTTAATTGACCAACTCGTGCCTTGGTCAACGTGATTATTCTTGAGACCATTGTCTCACCAGTGCTATTTGTGCCTATTTGACCAACCAGTCTTTGGTCAACGTGATATCACAGAGACCCCTTTGTCTCTACTCCTATTCGTGCCTATTTGATCAACTCGTGCCTTGGTCAAATCTACCCAGTTCATTTCAGTGCCTAGAACGTGCAATCTAGTTGTACTTCAGACCACAGTTCTGAATCTAGGTAGCAAATCCTAGACAAAGCAATTAGAGGTACACATAAAAGCTCCGGCTAAGTTGATCACCTGATTGGTTTAGCGAGCCTCCCAAGAACTCACACGTTATCTACCACGAAAGAAGAAAAGTCGTAGACCGTGTTAATCGAGGACTGGCAAGAAGTCTTATCCAAGTGTAATTGTGGTGTCATTACATTCTTACACGCTTTATATAAGACCCTCGGTTATTAAGACACCGCGATTGGAGACGTACCTCGATGGTTGGAAGACTCAGACGTTAGGGACGGAATTCGTGCCCTTCTTAAACGTGACCGGTGCAGGGAGGAGCAAAAACGCTTAGGCATGGAGGCTGACAATTTGTGTCGCTTCTTTGAAGAAGAGCTGACAGCATTGGAGCTTTCGATTCGATTGTCCCAAAGTATGTATGGTTCCCACTTAATCATTCAAGGTTTCATTGACGAAATTTCTTATTTATAGATGAGCGCTTCCTCGTTCCATTAGAACAGAGGTGCTCACATTTTCTCAAACTTAAGGTGCGATGGTCAAATGCACTAGCATCTTCGGTTCGATTTAGCAGCCGTGCAAAAGAGGCACTAAACAGGGCTATAATTTACTCTGGAGGTACTCATGGTACCCCTCTTCATTTGACGAGTGTGATAGTGCAGGATCCTGTTCCGGAGGATGAGCCACTACTGCCCGAGGCAGATGACCCCATAGAGGTTGAGCCAGAGCAAGCTGCACTTGCCGACATTCTGGAGGGTCATAGTGCTGGAGCGGATTTCAATGAGGATCAAGACTTAGTGTCTAATGTTTGTGCTGACATGGTCTGGGATTGCCCTGAGGTACGTCAATATCGTTGATAGGCCAAATATCACTAATGTATTGGCAGTGTTACGACTAGGATAGTTCGAGCTCTCCCTAGGCGGATTGCCTAATCTGATAGCGGGCTCGCTATTGGAGAGACGGGGATCTTCTCTCGAATGAGAGGTTCGGGGGTTCCACTAAAGGTAGCGTCGGCTTTCCTTAAGGTGCGGCTTAGACTGAAGGACTGGGACTGTCTTTCAGAGGAAGTTCTGGATAAAACCTAGTAGAATCAAGTAGGGAATATACATGATTCTGTCTGCTCTATATACTGTCGTCCGTGTGCACAGACCAATACTACGTTCGGTAGGTAGGTATGAGTGTGTCTATACAAGGGCATCTTATCTGATGCCATGCGGGCGATTATCTATGCATGAGGCTTACCATGCCTCTTCTATCTGTCCTCAAGGTGAAGCATGCCTTGGAGTCTAACTGCGCATGCTGTGGCATGCGGCTTCTCTTCTGACCATGAGGCAGAGTTTCCTCATGATCCGGGTTGAGGACCATCTAGGTCCGTCCAGATGTTGCCTAGGCTGGTCTAGGTCATCTAACGGCATCCAGGCCGTTCTAGGCGTCTCTACGAGTCTTCGTTGAGTCGGTAAGTCTTCCAAAGACGGTGTATAAGCGGGATAGGGGCTAAGGTCATGATGACCTCCGTAGGAGGGGTTCTCGGTTACATGTTATTGTAACATTACCTCCGTTTCTGGGTCGAAGTCTCCGACTACGACAAAACTCTCTCCCGGGTTTCTTCGTCTGGAGTGGCAGTAGTACTGCGGGTATCAATGGGAGTGGGTGACCGCGGCGTGGGGTTCTTTGCGATTAGTTCTTCTAGCGCAACGTGGTTCTTCTCCCAATCTACGAGGAGTTCGTAGTATTCCTCGTCGTCTCGAAACTCTGGGAGGGATGATTCTTTTCCGAGTTGAGGGCAATGGACCGACAGGTGGTCGGGTCCGATTTCGCTGCAGATGCAGCACACAGCGTCTGGACACTTTCTAAAATTGTGTCCGTATCCTCCGCATCGTCGACAGATGCAGGTGCGGTCTACTCGCGCTTTCTTGGTAGGGCGCGGGGGTCTTTCTAATCTTTCTCCAACGCGCTTCTTCGCGATGTCTACGAGGTCGCTGAAGTTGTCGGGGAGGAGGTGTAGCGCCATTGCGCGGATTTTCTTCTGGTCTTCCAGCACTATGAGGGCTCTAGTTGCTGGGTCTAAGTCTTCACGGTTCACCGATATTTCTAGGTGTCGCGTGGTGCGGATGATGTCTATCACCAAGGATGCGGATGCGGCGATGTTGACATCTGACTGTCCTAGGATGTCGCTGATCTCTAGGAAGTGATCTGGGGAGAGAATGGCCGTTTCGGCGACGGCACCTTTCTCGAGGTGGTCGAGGATTTTGGAAAATCCCGAGTTCTTTAGGGGAACGATGACGGAGGCTTCGATGTTGTTAGGCATGATTGTTGCGAGAGTTTCTGGCGAGTATATCGTTGTAGAGGGTTTATATGGGCCTCCAAGAGTGCTCTAAGCTCCGCTTGATCAGTTAACTTATCTTTTAATCTCTTTATCAAAGTTCAATCATGAAGGCGTGGAGTGCCTCATGGTTCTTTTGGCAGAGGGGAAGTCACCATGCCAGTGCGTTCGAAGGATAGTTTCGAGTCATTCCGGACTATCAGAAGCGGAAGTTTTGCGTCATTGCGAACGTGCGTGTCTTGATCTTTCATTTTAAGGTTGAATTCAAGATCTGGGGTATGTCGTTTCGAGATGTTCTTTTTGTTGATTTTCTCGATCGGCGTTCTAGAGGGTTCCATGGGCTTGCAGGAGTTTCCACGGAGTTCGTCTCGTGATAGTTTAGCGTCTTTCCGGACAGAGGTGAAGGTAAGGCATCCGGGGCTTGCAGGAGTTTCTCGGTGTATTAGTCTTGTCTTCGAGGTGAAGGGGTTCCGTATCTCCGGGTTCGTCCTTCTATTCTCAGTTTAGAGTCGTGATGGACAAGGGGTAGTTTAAGGTCTTTCCGGACCGAGGATAGTTTCGAGTCATTTCGGACTTCTGCGCAGTTTATAGTCGTGCCGGACTCGTGGCGATTGTCGATATTTATAGATAAGGGTGCGGCCGGGGTGAGGGGAATTAAGATGAAATGAGTTTTTAAATGAGAATTTCACCCCCCAAGTAGGCCGTTTGATCACCGATCAAATCTAAAAGTCTAAATCAAGGTTTCCGCAGTCAGGACCGGACTGATCCGTGACTGGTGCGATCTCTCCCTGGAATAATCTAACATCCACAGGGTCGTCCTGGTGGGGACAGTGGCTTGCGATACGCTTTATCGTTCGCTGAAAGTAGTTCTGCTGTTTAATCCGATCTACTTCCATCGGAGTCATCGCGGGTTCTTCTGCTATGGCAGGGGCCGCGGAGGTGGTATTAACGACTGTCTCATCGTTATCTTCTTCATCAGTCTCCATCATTTCCTTATCAGCTAATGTGGGCACGAGGAATGGGCGAGTGACTGGTGCGGTTCTCGATCGTTCTGGGAAAGAAACGATCGGCTCGGCCCGGTTGATCCATTGATCAGCGGCCGGTTCGTCTTCTGCTAGTTTATACTCTTGGCGGAGTTTCTTCGGTGACGGCGCTTCTGCCGTGACTACCGATCTACCTTTTCCAAGAACCGAAGCAGGTTCTGCTGAAAAGACGTACTTCTGAGTTTTCTCCGGTTCAGGGGCCGGTCTAGGGATTTTTGCACGAGGGGGTTCCTCGTCGAAAGTGGCTCTGCCTTTTCCTAAGATCTGGGCAGGTACTGCAGAAAATCTATATTTATCTGCGGGTGGTGAGGTGGCAACTAAGTCCGACTGTCTCGTGGACTTCTTCTCGACGTTCTGGGATGTCGAGGCGTGGGGTTCCAATGGCTTGGTAGCCGGTGCGTACTCGAGGATTTCGTGGAGTTCCTCGATCGGGGTTAATGTCGGATTGAATCTCCATCTTCCCGAAGTTAGTTTCGACTCGTTTCGGAGATCTTCCATCGGCGAATCAGCCGGTTCTGGTAGTTTAGCCTCATTTCGGAGGTTCTGCGTGACAGGTGCTTCTGTCAGATCTAGTTTATACTCATCTCGGAGTTCTTCTGTCTTCTTCGTCAGGGTGCCTACCTCTCTTCTTTGGCGCGTGTTTCGCGTCCTCTTTTCTCTACGGAAGAGCGGCTTCAACCCGTTCCTCTTCCTACCTCTCTCAATCATTCTCTCAAGTCCTCTTGACTTGTCAGTGGCAGGGATAGTTACCGTACCCTTCTTCCAGTCTATGGAAGGCTTCACAGCGGCCAGCCATGTGAATCCGAGTAAGATGTCGTCTAAGCGCGGCATTACAAGGAATCGTCCGTGCATTACTCAGTCGTCGATCTTTATGATGAGTCGGCAAAATCTTTTGACGTTGCCTCCGTCGACTATTGTTCCGTCTCCGTTCATTACCCTTTTTGGTGTCTGAAGGAGGTGCGTTCTAATGCGATATTTCTTGCAGAATTCTCTGCTTATAAATGAGTCGCATGCGCCCGAATCTATGACCATGGTGGTTGTGACGGGCGGCTTAGTGGTGGACATGAGGGTGGCGGCAACCCGTAGTTCCTTCTTCTTGGATACGCTGTTCTTGTTAATTTTTAGCGGTCCAGTCTTATCCTTACCAGCCGCTGTTTTGCGGACTGTTTCTTCTTCGATAATCTTTCTCCTCATCGGGCACTTGTGGTCGTTGGCTTTGTGTCCAACGTGATGGCAAGAAAAGCATCGTCGTTGCTTCAGGTGGTGTCTTGTCTCCATTCCTGAAAGGTTGGCGGCGGCGTCGGTATTTCTTCTGATCATCATGATCTGTGTCGGTGCGTTCATGGTAGAGGGAGTAGTGCGAAGGGACAGTGATGGGCTTAAGGATTCAAAGCTTCGTACGTCTGTCTTGACAATTTGTGGATAGCTTTACGCCGGTCTCGGCGGTTTGGTCACGAGAGTAGAGGTCTACGCTTGTCTCAGCGGTGCGGTCGGTTCAGTTTCAACGGCGGTGCGTGATGAGCAGGGCCGGGAAAGTAAGACTTGATTCTTTTGTTACGACTAGGATAGTTCAAGCTCTCCCTAGGCGGATTGCCTAATCTGATAGCGGGCTCGCTATTGGAGAGACGGGGATCTTCTCTCGAATGAGAGGTTCGGGGGTTCCACTAAAGGTAGCGTCGGCTTTCCTTAAGGTGCGGCTTAGACTGAAGGACTGGGACTGTCTTTCAGAGGAAGTTCTGGATAAAACCTAGTAGAATCAAGTAGGGAATATACATGATTCTGTCTGCTCTATATACTGTCGTCCGTGTGCACAGACCAATACTACGTTCGGTAGGTAGGTATGAGTGTGTCTATACAAGGGCATCTTATCTGATGCCATGCGGGCGATTATCTATGCATGAGGCTTACCATGCCTCTTCTATCTGTCCTCAAGGTGAAGCATGCCTTGGAGTCTAACTGCGCATGCTGTGGCATGCGGCTTCTCTTCTGACCATGAGGCAGAGTTTCCTCATGATCCGGGTTGAGGACCATCTAGGTCCGTCCAGATGTTGCCTAGGCTGGTCTAGGTCATCTAACGGCATCCAGGCCGTTCTAGGCGTCTCTACGAGTCTTCGTTGAGTCGGTAAGTCTTCCAAAGACGGTGTATAAGCGGGATAGGGGCTAAGGTCATGATGACCTCCGTAGGAGGGGTTCTCGGTTACATGTTATTGTAACAGGCAGGGTCTCCTAATTGATGACTTCTGCGTCCCATCTCAAGACTTGCATGTCATTGTGCCTGGACGCATAGTAACTAGAACCACATCATCAACTGGAGCCTTCCCCTCCCAAGTGTTCGAGCCGAGAGACATAACTTTTCTCACTCATCCGACCGCATTCCTCAATGATGTGTGTATTAACGGTTGCGCTGTCCTTCTACAAATGGATATGCCAAATCCTGCTGTGGCTGTCTTCTCTACGCATGATCTTCCTCGCATCCGCTATAATGCAGCTGACGATATGCTCTGGCGCAATACATCATCCACACGTTATTGGGAGAAAGATGTGTGGGTTCTTCCTATTCATAGACCATCTGGTGTTGGGCATTGGGTCGTTTGCGTAATCTACTTGTCAAGAAAAGAGCTTCATCTCTTTGATAGTCTAGCTGAACGGAAACCATGGAAACAGGATGTCAAAGTCGGTTTCCTTCAACTTTCATCCGATGCTCACTTTGATAGATTTGCAGGATATCATGAAACTCATCTGTCGACTTCTGATGGTGGCACGTCAACGAAATAAGAACGTTCACATTGACATGGATAGATGGGTAGCTCGCCCATTGACCGTAAGTTCAATAACATTTCTCTCCTCTTAGCCCTCCGTTTTTGATGATGCACGCAGGTCAAACCTCTTCAGACTAATGGTTATGATTGTGGTGTATGGGTATTAGCAACAGTCATTGCTGTCCTACGTGGACGACATCTTACGCAACTCCGAGAGGATGAAATGAGTGATCTTCGATATTATCTACGATCTCGCATACTTTCTATACCACTATTCTAGCATGCATGTAGGTTCAAGCCAAGTTGAATTAGTGTAGTATGATGTCTAGACATATGGATTCTTCCCAGCAATTAGCAAGTCCTTCTCCGTTTGATAATTCACGATCCTTCGTGCTACCCACTGGCGGTAGCATTCAGCCATGATCTTATGTCTTGCACATGCTTGAAAGTGGGAGACACAAGTATGAAGCTCATCCCAGCGTGAAATCAAACTCTTCTGCACCTCTCGAATCTCCTCAAGAACCCTGTCACTCTCTCCCATATTATACATGGCTGTGCGGTGTGCGCAAGATTCCCTTTCAACCCGCAAATGTTGTCCATGCATCACATCGACAAGATTACGAGTAAAACGCTCTTCCTCTGGTGAGTCAGGTGGATCGGGGAAATCGTAAGGAGGTGATTTGTCCCATTGCAAGAGGTCAGATTCGTCGATCAAGTTTGAACCAGCAAGAGATTGGTGAAAGAGATAAGAATGGGGCAGGGGGAGAGCCGCAAATTGAAACAAGGAGGATGTCAGAGGTGCTTCAGACTGGATCTTGAATGTACGAGGTCCACGTCGACCATTACACTTGGCGTAGGCACAAGCATTCTGAGCTTGCCTCATCATTTTACCTCTGTAATAGTGAAAACTTGTGAATCAGACCTGGACAAGAGTTGTATAATGCTTACCGTTGTGACTGAGAATATGATTCTCTGTGTCGTTGTGAGGCATCCGCTTTCTTGTCTAATGTAAAGTACTTTGCTCGTCGGCCCATGATGATTGGGATAAGCAGATGAATTGTAAAAATGGTCCCTAACAAGATCACGGTTGTTGTGAAGTCCATACTACTGGCACATTGTGCTGCATTGGAGAAATAGAATACAGCCAATGATTGACTGTGGTGTTCTTGTTCAAAATTTGGTATTAATACAATGGGGCGTGCTGCTAGAGTTCATGAGGCTAGTTCAGACACCTTGAATGCTAGTGAATGCCCGTATGTTTGTCTTTTTAATTCAGTATGATGTATATATTCAAGCTCATTGGCTTACAGACGGTTTCCACCTCGCAGGAGGCTCCCAGTAGCCTCAATGCCAAGCCTCCAGGCAAACTGATAGCCCTCTTGGGTGCTTGGTGCTACTGATACTACATTATTCCATGCTCATTTACTAGTTTGGTAAGGGCACCAGGAAAATGCTGCGACTGCTGCAGTATTTGCTGGCACGACACAACGAGTATGCTACTAAGTACATAGCACCTAGAGTGGATTGACCTCCCGCTGGAAGAGCGGCCACAGCTTATTCCCAGGGAAAACTGGACATGGCCAAAACGGTTGAGATCAAGCGGAATATGACGAATTTAGAAGCACCATATTTCACTATAGGAGACTCGCCGTGGAGACAAATAGAATATTTCGCATCTGTTGCAATCTTCTCGAATGTTGTAGGATATGTTAAGAATATTGATATCATATTTCAGCATATTTCAATCGAGTTCCACTGGTACGACAAAATCGGTTGTATTCGGGTGAAATATGCTATAATCTACTGATACAAATGCTTCGACCTACGACCAGAAAACACGATATAGGATGATGGTGATAGAACTAGCACGACAGTGTAAAGCAGGCAACCTCGACGGCAGCAAAAGAACAGGAGCGACATGGACAGGCGAGGAGGGAGACAATCGGGAGGAAACCGGCAGGCAATAGCAAAAGAACAGGAGCGATGTGGAGTGAGACAGGCGAGCACAGGTAATTTGGAAGCGACCAGCAGGCGATGGCAGGAATGATGTAGACAGTAGAGGAGTTAGACGAGCGAGCAGGCGGCAGTGGGCAAATAGCTTGAATAGGCCGGGCAAGTTAATACATGGGACCATTGACGACTTCGCTGTTCTTCGTCCAGCGCCCTACTTTTTCCTAAGAAGTCTCAGCGACTTGATAATATGAGTAGCAAGGCTGTACTTACAAGTTCTCTAGCCTCCCTATCATAAGACTGTGGACAGAAGTGTCAGTAGAATGAAAGGATATGGTATCGAGGACGGTAGTGGTTGTCGGTACAGGTGCCAGCTTCAAGTTCGAACTTGGAACAGTCTCGGAGTCATTAGACTGGACAACATAAAGAAGAGTTCCACTTACTGAGCATACAACCTTTGTTATGATACATACGGTGATAACATACTTAAATTGAAGATTCATACAATCTGCTGAGGAAGTTGGCGACAGTAGGAGGATGACGACTTGGCAGGAAGATGATGTTATGAGGAGAAGTAGGAAAAATAGGGTTGCCCCAATGAATTATAACTTTGGGGTGAATGATGTCACAAACTCTGCGCAAACAAAAGAGTACGTACTATAGCTAGCCGTTGTGCGATGTATGTGATGCAGCACGATGTGAAGTAGTCGATGAATTGCATAGCAGAAGTGCATGCGGTGCACGTGCGTCGTGCGAGCGCTTGACAAACTTTAGTGCGATTGACAACGCAATGGCCGCAGTGTGCGCATCAAATCGACAACGATGTAATGTTTTTACGATGCGATGTGTAGACGATCGTGTCGTTGAAGATTACACAATATTATAGCATAAATTATATGTCTAAACAATATTCCGCTTGATCTCAACCATTTTGGCCATGTCCAGTTTTCCCTGGGGCTCACCTCCGAGTCAAGACCTGTCAAGACCACGTCACAATTCGGAGGTCACCGGTGTCACCACAGCTATATACAGTTGACAGCCAACTCTAACGCCATGATGTCACGGGACAGTGATATACCCTGCTTCGATCACGGGTCATCGTACATATTCTTTTCGAGTTTTCTCGACAATAAAATAGACTAAATTCAACATTAGTTACACAGTATTGACAGTCTTCTCGCCTTGCAATGTAGATTGAATCCTCGAACTTCTCTGCTCACCGCTTCCTGACTCGGCATTGTCCAAGTCGACAGTAGTGAAAACCCCACCCGTAGTAATTCGCGTCGTGTAATCATCGTCATCGATAGAGATCGAGTCGTCCGCACCCGCGGAACTAATGATGCGGTACAGGAGAGTAACTATCACAAGGAGGTTGCAAACAAGAAGCGACAGGGCTGTCTGGTACGTTTAACACTCAGATTAAAGTACCCCTAGAAAAAAATTTGACTGTACCTCGAAGTCTGTCGTCAGGGCAAGAACAGTGATATATTTCGATATTTGACAGACTCCCCGGAAGATGGATATAATGGTGACGATGATGCTGGAGGAGAATATGGCGAGAATCATCCTTTTTTGTCTTTTTGGCAGTCTGAGACTCCAGAGTAAGCGCAATGGCAGAATAATCAGTATTGTGTCGGATAAGCAATCAGCTTACAAAGCGTGTGAGTTCAAGTCGTGTAAGAGCCACAAGAAAGTCGCACTTATCAGTTCGAACATGATCATTGGTTGCGTCATAAGTATATGCACCTTTCTAGTTGTTTGATACCAGCAGGTGTTATGCCCATAATGCCACGCTTTTTGTGCAACAAGTCCTGCCCACAAACCGAGGAAAAGACCAGCAAGACAGAATATCAGGCGACGGAGGTGCTGCGTTGTGTAAACAATGCGAATGATGGAGAACAAGATACTTTGCCGGACAGCCCTACTTATCCTTGAGAATCGATGGTGCAAATTTAAACACGAAGATACTTACCACACGACGGAGGGGAAAGTAAACGAGTACACCCAGAACGATATAATTCCTTCTTCACCCACTGCAGGCAAGAGTTCAATAATGAGTAGGCAATATGCACAAGTGGACTCCTTTTACCTGCTTTAGTGTAAGTCCAGCAAGAAGTAAACGCGGCTACCCTGCAGAGAAATGCGACGCCTGCCCAAGCATCCTCGACCCAGAACCTGCCCAACCAAATACGATATGCGAGTCTAAAAATCATCAATACCAGCCCTAAAACCATAAATACACTTGAGACGGCTGTGGGAGGGTCAGTGAAGCTTTTATACCATGCAAAAAATTACCTCTCAGAGTCACGAAGGTCGACCAAGAAATCACCAGTGCCACTAATATCTTCAACTTTTTCTAACCTAATGAGACAGAATGGCTGCGTCAAGGCTCGTAAGTACCATGTTACATGCATGTCACACCGCGTCACAACCACGGCAGGCTCGGCAGGACCACGTCAAAATAGCTACACGCCCTGTTTGGTAAGTCATGCTTTTCGGCGCTACCCTCATTCAAGGCTTCTTCAAATATATTACTCACATTCCAAAGATTTCTATGGCCTCTTTTGTGTGTTATCCATCAACTCCATCGGAACATGACTGCGACCATATTCGAGCCCTCACACCTTGTTGATGCTGCCACGCAGACAGACGCCCATTCTTTTACAATTACTCACCTCGTAAGCCCCCCAGTCAGTTTCATATCCAAATTCTGCTAATCGCTTCTAGCTTGTGGATGCAGCAGTGTTGACAGAGGACCCAGGAGTTAGTGAGGTTACTGCCAGTCTCCAAGTCAACGATGAATGGAAGGCCCTTGATGGTATTCCTTGTATTATAGGTGGCATAACGGCGCTTGCTGGTAAGTTTTGTGAGTTCACTTTTACACTAATTTTGACTTAATTTCAGCTTCTGTTGGTGGCACCCTGCGCGGGCGTGCCAAAAATGACTTCCCCTGGAAAAAACTGCCCAAAGAACTAGCACGGCTTGGATGTTGCCTTGTCAACTATCCTGAAGAGACTTTGATGCCTGGCGGGACTTGACCCACGCTCACTCGGAGCAAAGGCATCCACGATTTGACCTTCCGTCATCGTGCTAATCTTGTCAACGCTCTCAAGACAGGTACCCTCACTATTCGAGCCATCACAAGCGATGTTGCCCGAGCACGCCTTGTAACATCCAAAGACCCAATTATCATAGGCGAGGCACCCTCACATCGCTCAATTCACTCTCGCGGGCGACGTATGTTTGCTGACGGTGATATTGACCGCAAAGGGCCTCGCCGTCTCCCCTCACCTCCTGCTACACCATCTACTCATTCCGCTACACCATCTACTCGTCCTGCTACACCTGCTATACCTCCTACTGCACCTCCTCATTCTGCTACTCCTGCTACTCGTCGTCGTGTCCAAGTTTTTGTAGAGATATCACGCCCGCCGCCCCGGCCAGCTTCTAGAGCTGTGGGCAAATCAGCACCCCCATACATCACTCGCACCAAGGACCTCATTCCACCGATAACTTCTGTTGAGCCGTTTTCGTCTACCTCTGAATATGCCGAGGATTCTGATGAAAGTATCACTGTGGATGAGGAGCCGTATGTTAATAAGAGTGATCGTCCTGCCAAGCGTCTCAGACGTTGATGGGTATAGCTGCAAATAATTGAATATTTTCCAAGAACGTAGATAGCATGTTAGTATAACAATTGTTTTTGAAGTTGTACTTTAATTTCTGACAATGGAATATCAAATCTCATTTGATGCAAACTCGGTAGAAGTAAGCTCATCCTTTCGTCGATACGTTATCTTTAGTCATGACTCACAATATGACATTCATTTTCCAACCTCTCTGTAGCCTCTCTGTAGCCTCGCTGGCCTCCCCAAACACTCCCCTGCTTACTTCCTCACCCTTTATACCCTCGTCAGCTACGACCAGCATCTAGGGTCACAATTACTGTTTCTGGCTACCCCGTCATTTTTGGTAACCACTTCGATTCGAAGTTTTGATATCCAACATCTGGGAGTCTAAATCATCGATTGTAAAGTAAGTCACCTGTACTTTCTAAAGCTCATTTCAGCCTTTCTGACATGAT